AGATTAATGCTAATTTTCACGAACATTTTGAAAATGTATTTAAAGCGCATTGCAAATAGCACAATTACTGAAACGACGTCAAACGATGCAAAAGTTAGTCACGCAGTAGAAATTGGTGATAAATATCGCACAGAACATGTAGAGTATTGCTTGAATCTTAAATGTTTTTACTTTTCTTAGAACAATGTTCTCAAGATTGATTTTCTTGAAGTATTTTGGCTCATCTGGAGGCATGTAACTTTAAATGCAATACCAATTTGCTAATCCGTATCAGGGTGGTTCACAGTTGATTCATTTAAAAACAGGTTTTATTTATGTTAAAATTTATATTATTGCGCGTTTTTACGTTGAAATTTATTGGACAAGGATGGTGTTAATATTATCCATCAACATAACATCAGATTCCGAATAAAAAAGGCAATTTAATAACTTATAGAACAGAACTGTTCCTTTCTGTTTATAACTTATAATTTTCTTTCTTTCAAACAAGTTATATGACCGTGTGTAGACAATAGTGTGTCATACAACCAGTCACTAACGGGTACGTTTGCAACCGTTTATTCTTGTCCATAAAAGCTTTCATGTACCTTTCTTTCTAATCTTTTATAGAAAACAATTCACATTACAGGGACTTTATATCTACATGCCAAAGTCAAATATCCGGTGACTTGATATGACATCGCATTCATTACGTCATAACTTTTGTTGCTGCAAAAAATATCGTGCAAACGGACACCTTCAACTAACCTTCCATTAGCTAGGTAAAATGTCACCATCATATAACAGAATTTAATGTCTTTCGCTGGAAATGGGCAGGTCATTAGAAATAATCAAGTGACCAATAAATAATTGTTTGTTACTTCCTTCGACCAGGAAGATTTTTATGTATAGCATAAAGTTACTGTGACATAATGGACATGTAGAACAGAAACAGAAAGTTAAGTTTAAACAATATTTTATTTATAAGTATTACATTTACATGATAATTGACAAATAATAAATAGTACGGATTGAGTAGGAAGCTAAGCTTTTAACAGAAAGTTTATTCAGTGTTATGCAACAAAATTTGTATGTGACATCTGATCAATGTTAAAAAAAAGAAAGAACATGAAGTAAGCCTGAACACGTTTTTAAATTATACTGAATTATTAGTTCGATTTAAACCAACGGCATATCTTTTGAACCAATCAGAAATAAATGACCGCAAAGATTCAAAATGACACGTAAATATTTTTACTTACATAAAGAAAATTGCCGCTCATATAGCTTTTGATAAGAGATGTTTTCCCACAAGCACAGTCTCCGACGAACACAAGTTTAGATCTCACACATGTTGGGGTATTCCCTGTAGCTCCATCAAGTGGTGGAGTTGAATCGGGTGTTTTTAATTCACCCATTGTTTATAAGTTTTCTTTAACTGTTTCTTGTAACAAATAGTGCCCTTGTATGATACAAATCACAAATTGTAAACACCACTTCTGTTTTTAAAAAATGTTTGCGTTTTTCTTATCATTCAATATAGTTCAATTTATGTGGCTCAATTAACAAAGAGTAAACAATCAGCCTATTCCATGCGTTTCTGTAATTATCTTATTTTTTCGTTCAATCTATTCGTATTTGCTTTTCATTTACAATGTCCGCTATTAGTTTCCTTCTTATCAAATGAACTTTCCATCTATTACATATTACAGGATCGAATTATAGCATTTATTTCATAGATATATTTAAAGATATAGCTTACATTAAACGTCAATTAATTTTGAAATGTATCACCTAGTTTTTACGAACTTATACAATTATCCTCGGGCACTTTTAACAATTGTCAAATTTTCCGCTCGTCTTTTCCGCGTATCTTAATTACTCTACCCGTATTTATGTTATACGTTCGTTTATTTATTTTTCTCGTCTTTTCACAACAACAAAGAAAAATACATCAAAATATCAATTACACATCCACGTACGTAAGCATACAACTATAAACACTAAACTTTGACATTCCGCCAGGTTTTTATAATTTATTTTCTTGAGAAGTTTGAGTCACGTGACTTCTTTTCCCAGATTATACGAAGTTTATAAAAACCGAAGAAACAGCAAAATGGCATTCCAAAGCGAGGCTGCCAGTATAGAAGTAAATTTTACTACTTTCGAATCATAAATATACAAGTTCAAATGCACTATATCACTGTATATGACTGTTTCATATCTATCCAAACCTGTCTTCAGAAACGAAAAAAAAATAGAATTGTTAACAGGTGGTACATCAAACCGGTATATTGCTGGTCAAAAAAAAGGCCTGAAAATGCGAATTACATAATGATAGAACTTACTACGTAGAAGCTTGTAAATATGATCATTCAAACCAATGTCCATTTTATTTGTTGTTGTTGCTGTTATTGTTTTTTTCTCTTTTTTCTCTTTTCCCTCTAATTCCAGATATTGTTTCAAATCAAATTATCTATCTAGTTACAAGTTCATAATTTTTCTTTTATTATATTTATTTATTTATTTTATTTTATTTCATTTTATCATTATTGTTATTATTATTTTATTTTATTTATTTATTTACTTATTTTTATTTTCATTTTTGGAGTAATGAGATAATGATTTGACCGACATACGATGACAAGCTGGAAAGACCTAAGTATATTTATTAAAAAATAAAAGGTTGATGTTTCAGACTGATCTTGATTGTAGTGTTTTGTTTTCAAATGAAACAGAAACAAAATTATTGTTTGGAACAATTCCTCTGTTTGAGAATTGAATAATCTATTAACAACAATGGAATCATAATAATTATTCAATATGTTGGTTCTTTTTCATAATACTGATATGTGATATTGTTACTCGCTTTTTCCCCAAGAAAATGCCATATATTATAAAACTTTATAGTCCAGGCAAAGGGAGTTAACTAGACTTTCTTTTACTTTATATCATGAGTGTTTACCTTTACCCTTTATTTATTTGATCATGTGTAACAAATGTTTGTACATACAAATACATACTCAATAAAACCTGGTTTTCGTCGGTGTTTCCTTCATTCTTTTTCTTTTTTTCTTTCTTTTTTTTGTCGTTGTCTACAGTTGCATTAATAAGCTGATAGAAACTTTACAAATTCCTAATTTAGGGATTCCTAATTTCGGGAAAATCATTGGTTGAACTAGTCTAAATCTTGATCTGGTATAATTTACCTTCATTGCATGTACATAATTATTTTATAATGATTAGCCCTCACGTATAAAGGGAATCAACTTGTACTAGAAATAATATCAATACTAAGATCAAGATTTGTCTCCCTTTAATTATTTTTTTTCTTACTCCGCTTCGAATATTTTTTTAAAAAAAAAAACATTAATCTTTATCGCCGACAAAGAAGCTAAAATACACTTCTGATCACAAGGATCTGAACAGAAAAAAATTATCCAGCGGAAATCATCGAACAATTTTTTAGCTGAAGAGCTGCAGATGTACTGCTATTCATGTTTAATACAGAATTAGTCAAATATAGTACAATTTAAACTCATTATTATGTAAATATGGTATCGCTTATCACGAGGTGTTAAATGTCAGACGTTCAAAAAACTTTAAATTTGGGACATTTGTGATAAGATAAAAGGAGACTTACACTCTAAAAAAACGTGCGATTTTCATCACCTATAGTAACCTATACAAGCACATTGTAAACGACAAGTCGACACTTCGGTCTTTTATGAAAATACTTATTTTTGCATAAAAATATACGTTTAATTCGAGATTTCCGCGTTTCTTTATTAATTTGTCGGTTTTTTATATGACGCCATGGGTCATGCATATCAAAAACGAGTTCTAACGGTGCGTGCTCGTATGAATTTTATAAGTAACTGCATGTTTTCTATTCCCATTTATATTTGCATGCGTGCGCAGTGTGTATGAATTGTATTAGTTACTGCAAGTTTTCTATTCCCGTTTATATATGCATGCGTGCTCAGTTTTAATGCAAGTATAGAGTTTAGTCTTTCTCCATTACATAAATTTTACTTACTAAGATTTTGCACTAAGTTGTCATGCAACTATTTTACTTTCCGAATCTATGTTTTGATACTTTGTTCTTTTTTTTAAATTTTCAATGTCTTAAAACACTTCAATTTAAAAGTATTCTAAAATGTTCATAACTATTTGTTTAAAAATTGAAATCAATCATTTTAAATCATTATGTTTAAATGATGAAAGCATCAGAAACAAGACAAAAATCAAATAAAATTTTTAGAAATTTTAAAAGTTGATATTTTTAATCTGAGTATAAGAATTTGATGCAAACATTTTACAACTAACACTATGAACCAGTATTTTACTGTACAAATGCCTCTTAACGTCGACTGAGTCGGTAGACGCGTTTTTGTAGTGTACACGCAAATATAGTATCATCTGTTGTGAAACGTAGGATAAAAAAATCTCTTTATACCAATTTTCAACTTGCATGTCAAAAGACTTATAAATCGTTTTCTTTAACTGAAAAACCACGATAGATACAAATGTATTAACATTTGCATGATCGTCATTTTAAGAAGCGGTAAAACCAACCATTTAGAAAGCAACTGCATTAAAACTACAAGAATATAAAAACGATTGACTAACTAAAGATAAAATTCATACGAAAAATAAGCTTATGTAAGAACAAAGTGTTCCAGTTTTTTTAATACATACATATTAAGCTTACTTTTGTATGAATTTTACTTAGACAAAATTGTAGGTAAGACATCATGATACCACTTAGTCTGTCCCATAATTCAACAATAACATCTTGGAGGTATTGTAGAACTACAAAATATGCATTTGTTATTCGCAAAATATCAAAAATCAATTTCATTTTACACTCGGTTACATTCTCCCCATGAAATCCGTACTAAATTATCATGCTTTGCTATAATGTAATCGGGTTAAAAGCCCTAATAGCAAGTTATCAGTATAAATAAATAGGTTAAAAAGAAATGAACTGTGATTGTTACTAAGAAAAAAGACACACATAATCAGGGACACATTTCTTTATTGTGTTCTGTACATGTGACGAATGTATCATATATAAGACGTTTAATCTATCTGGTTGCTGTTGTTGTTGTTGTTGTTACTTGCACTATTTGGAAGTGGTGAACAAGCTCCTGGAATCTTTAAATAGAAACAAAGATTAAAATGGCATATTTTTATTATTATAAACATATCATAGTACGATTTAGAAATGATATAAATATCATTATGATATATAAATGATGTTTCAATCATGCGTGTCTTTTCATAATAAATTTATTAAATGAGTTGAATTATAGTGATTAAATACGACGCAGTGCCGATAGTATATATATATATCGCTTTTATTCAACGAGTTTAAAAAAATCCAACATGTAAATTGAACGACACAAATATTAGATTGTTTTTACGATTTAAACTCAATAAGCCTTCAAATGCTAGTTCAATGATCACATAAATGGTAATTGAATGTCAGTGACTTATGGAGAGCAAATAATATAGTGCCTTGCGTTTTATTTTAATATATTTATTCAACCAAAGTGATTTACTAGACGCTTTTATCTTCGATATGCCTAACGGTTCATGTTAACCACACGTTTGAAAATATGTTATCTTGTGACGTCATAGTTTGTTACGTCACAAAAGAGGCAAAATGGCTCTACAGGCACTGTTTATGCAATATTTATTGAATTTAGAAGTGATTGGAGCAATATTTATTAGTCTTTTCTACTGGCAGCAGATATAAAATAGAGAAAATAAGAATCCCTAAAGAAAGTCCAACACAACATAATTGAAAATGTTGCAGGCTTGGTTTGATTGAGCGTACTGTAGAGTGCAAACTACCGTCCACGCCCCCTAGCACCGGCTTAAGCAGAATTCAACATTTAAACATGAAATGGTAATATTTATACCCCCAAAAACGAAGTTTGGGGGGTATATAGGAGTCACCCGGTGGTCGGTTGGTCGGTCGGTCGGTCGGTCCAGACGTCCGTTGCATTTTCTTGTCCGGACCATAACTTGAAGACTAATGGTTGGAATTCAATATAACTGCATACAATGGTCAAGCACATTGAGAGGAAGTGCAGTGCACAAGAATCATAACTCTATCTTGACTAATTACAGAGTTATTGCCCTTTGTTACTTTTCCTTGTCCGGGGCATAACTTGAACACTGCTGGTTGGAATTCAAAACAACTTCATACAATTGTCAAACACAATAAGGGGAAATGCAGTGCACAAGAACCATAACTCTATCTAAAGTAATTACAGAGTTATTGCCCTTTGTTACTTTTCCATTGCTTTCTTTTGTCCGGACCATAACTTGAAGACTAATGGTTGGAATTCAATATAACTACATACAATGGTCAAGCACATTGAGGGGAAGTGCAGTGCACAAGAACCATAACTCTATCTTGACTAATTACAGAGTTATTGCCCTTTGTTACTTTTCCTTGTCCGGGGCATAACTTGAACACTACTGGTTGGAATTCAAAACAACTTCATACAATTGTCAAACACAATAAGGGAAAATGCAGTGCACAAGAACCATAACTCTATCTAAAGTAATTACAGAGTTATTGCCCTTTGTTACTTTTCCATTGCTTTCATTTGTCCGGACCATAACTTGAAGACTAATGGTTGGAATTCAATATAACTACATACAATGGTCAAGCACATTGAGAGGAAGTGCAGTGCACAAGAACCATAACTCTGTCTTGACTAATTACAGAGTTATTGCCCTTTGTTACCTTTCCTTGTCCGGGGCATAACTTGAAAACTACTGGTTGGAATTCAAAACAACTTCATACAATTGTCAAACACAGTAAGGGGAAGTGCAGTGCATAAGAACCATAACTCTATCTAAAGTAATTACAGAGTTATTGCCCTTTGTTACTTTTCCATTGCTTTCTTTTGTCTGGAGTATAACTTGAAGACTAATTGTTGGAATTCATTATAACTTCATACAATGGTCAAGCACATTGAGAGGAAGTGCAGTGCACAAGAACAATAACTCTATCTAAAGTAATTACAGAGTTACTGCCCTTTGTTACTTTTCCATTGCTTTTTTTTGTCCGGAGCATAACTTGAAGACTAATGGTTGGAATTCAATATAACTTCATACAATGGTCAAGCACATTGAGAGGAAGTGCATTGCGCAAGAACCATAACTCCATCTTGACAAATTACAGAGTTATTGCCCTTTGTTACTTTTCCTTGTCCAGAGCATAACTTGAAAACTACTGTTTGGAATTCAATACAACTTCATACAGTTGTCAAGGACATTAAAAGAAAGTGCAGTGCATAAGAGCCATAACTCCATTTTGACAAAATACAGAGTTACTGCCCTTTGATACTTTTCCTTGTCTGGAGCATTACTTAAAACATACTGGTTGAAATTCAAAACAACTTCATACAATGGTCAAGCACAAAAAGAGGGAGGAAGTGCAGTGCACGAGAACTATAACTCCATCTTCAGTATTTATAGAGTTATTGCCCTTTGTTCCTTTTCTTTGTATTTTTGGACTTATTACAGAGTAATTCAATAAAACTTCTTCAATGGTCAACCACATTGAAAGGAAATGCAATATACAAGAACCACAACTATCTTTAATTGCCCACAACCATAACTCTATATTTCAATTCTTTTACAAGGTATTCTGTTACTAGTAACATCCTCATTTCCGAAGCAGTCTTGTGGGGGGGGGGGGGGTATTAATCACTTTTAGTGATAGTTCTAGTTTGAATTTAGAAACATCCGCAGATGTGTCCATACGGTGGTTATCATGGAACCTTCAACGTAACACTTCCGTGCCATTCCATGAAAAGCGACGTATGGTCCCCAAGTAATAGAAAGCGTGTAAACGAGAAAACAATGGGCGGAACTAAATAAAATGGAATTTTGATAGGGGATCAGAGGTTATGAAGCCTGCATATCACAGATAAGACGTCAAAAGACAAAGTTAAAAGGCAGGCAACATTTCCTAAGGGTGATTCAACATTATTCAAGTAGGAATATTGGAACCACCCAAATAGAAAATGCCGAAAAGTTAAAACTAAAAAAAACACAAGCTTTATAAAGCTTTATACATTTAACATAAAATTATGCAGAACCGGAAAAATTTTGACAACCTGTCGTGAACAATATAAAAATATCGCTAACAACAAGTAAGCGCTATTTGCCTTTTATTGTAAAATGTGATGTTTAAGATGTTTATACTGCTGGTAAAACAATATGGTCTGCAGTGAAGTTACATAAAGGAAAATAAAGAAAATATCAACCAGCTGCAGGCGATACAGCTTTAAGAAGAATTTAATATGAGAAAATATGAAGAAACGTGTTTGTTTAATTTTTGTTCCACAAGGCAATAATGTTTCAACAGTACAACTAAACATAGTTATACACTGCACTTACCCATGACATATAAGAGGTACAGAATGGTCTAATATACCAGAGAAGACAGCATGTGCATGTTTTTCACAAGCACCTTCTGTGGCATCACTACCGATGATATCGAGAAGTTGCTGCAGATGAAGTTTCAATGTGGGTGTATCTATCAACGGTGCTTGAAATAGAACACAAAAAAAAACATGTTGAAAGCATGTTATAATATGAACTCAATTAAATAAAGTTTGCTTTGTTTACAGGATTACAACTAAAGCACCTTCTGTTGCATCATTACCAATGATACCGTAAAGTGTTCCGATATGTATTTTGAGTGTCGGTGTGTCTATCAACGTTGCTTTAAACAGAAAACAAATACATGTTGAAAGCTACTTATCACATGAATTCAATTCAATATTGCTTGCTTTGTTTACCGGATGACAAATAAATTAAATCAACTGTGTATTTTAGAACAAAGATGACCTTCATGAAGTGCATTACAATGCAGTATGAAAAAGTTACTATTTAATAATCTGGCAAATAAATATTTAAACTAAATACTAGCTGCTAAATATTCAAATACTTTGTTTTGTATTTCACTATTGTCCTCCAGAGTCCAGTGTAATTTGACTAAAAATAATTTGTAACATTTATACTTACTTATTTGATCTAAGAGATATCTTTTCTCAGGTACTGTAAGAAAATATGTAAACTGTAAGAGAATAGTTTAAAAAGAGAAGGCGGAACATTAAAGAAGATTTGTTGTAATCATAAAATTTTTTGGATGCATCATATCTTATAATTATAGATAAAGAAAGCATTAAATTAACGTTCATCTTTGTACAAATTATTCTAAATCAAGTTTGCAATACTTGCATTAGTTTTTTTTTTAATTTTTCTCCAGTCCTAAATACACGCTACACAAGCAGATAGTTTAAACAAATAATGATGAAAGGCTTAAAATAAAGGAACGCAACAATTTTTTTTTTTGCAAAAAGATCAGATGATCAGATTTTTAAAGATTGTCTATATAAGTATGTGCATATCATGAATTTACCAACTGCGAGACGTTTGACTGAGCTGGTTGACGGTACTATTTGGAAATGGTGAACAAGCTCCTGGAATCTTTAAATAGAAAATAATTCTAAGTGAAACATTCATGGAATTATGTTCAGTTTAATATAGGAAAGGTATGATACATAATATGATACAAAGGTATAGTAGCTTATGTTTTAAACATGTAGTTTTTACAGAGTTTTGACAAATTGCAGTATTTGACAAGCACTTTATATTGTCGCCATTAATTGTGTCGTGAACGAAATAAATGATAAGAGTTGGCTTTTGATAAAAATGATCTTATGTACCAGTTGAAAGCTATGAATGACAACAAAATGTACAAAACAATAAACAATGAATCGATATCGTTCAAAAGCTTAATATATAATAAGCAAATAAGATTACTTGAAAAAAATGAATTTGTTTGTACAAAAGATTCTTCATATAAATTTCGCCAAAATAAGAATGAATAAAGAAGTTTTGACAACAATTTTGTAAAAGTAAATGCTTTATCTGTAATATTTGAGCGAATTTAACAGTATCGACTGTAGGTTTGATAGATAAACGGTAATAAAGATCAGACAAATACTTGCATTATTGTGGTACAGGGAGTTCTACATGCAAATGCGACATGTGAACCAATACCGTCAAGTGCATGGTTGTAACATCATTTTTAGTCATAATTCGATGTCACACAATACAAAAATGTTTACACAGTTACATTTCAGTTAGCAACTATACATAGTTATACACTGCACTTACCCATGACATATAAGAGGTACAGAGTGATCCAATAGACCAGAGAAGACAGCATGTGCAGCTTTTTCACAAGCACCTTCTGTGGCATCACTTCCTATGATATCGAGAAGTTGCTGCAGATGTGTTTTGAGCGTTGGAGTATCTATCAACGTTGCTTTAAACAGAAAACAAATACATGTTGAAAGCTACTTATCACATGAATTCAATTCAATATTGCTTGCTTTGTTTACCGGATGACAAATAAAGTAAATCAACTGTGTATTTTAGAACAAAGATGAGCTTCATAAAGTGCATTACAATGCATTTTGAAAAAGTGACTATTTAATTATCTGGCAATTAGATATTTAAACTAAATACTAGCTGCTAAATATTCACATACTTTGTTTTGTATTTTACTATTGTCCTCCAGAGTCCAGTGTTAATTGACTAAAAATAATTTGTAACATTTATACTTACTTATTTGATCTAAGAGATATCTTTTCTCAGGTACTGTAAGAAAATATGTAAACTGTAAGAGAATAGTTTAAAAAGAGAAGGCTGAACATTATAGAAGATTTGTTTTAATCATAAAAATTTTGGATACATCATATCTTATAATTATAGATAAAGAAAGCATTAAAAAAACGTTCATCTTTGTACAAATTATTCTAAATCAAGTTTGCAATACTTGCATTGTTTTTTTTTTTAATTTTTCTCCAGTCCTAAATACTCATTAAAATTTGGTCACACGCTACACAAGCAGATAGTTTAAACTTAAAATGATGAAAAGCTTAAAATAAAGGAACGCAACAATTTTTTTTTGCAAAAAGATCAGATTTTTAAAGTATGTCTATATAAGTATGTGCATATGATGAATTTACCAACTGCGAGACGTTTGACTGAGCTGGTTGATGGCACTATTTGGAAATGATGAACAAGCTCCTGGAATCTTTAAATAGAAAATAATTCAAAGTGAAACATCCGTAGAATAATTTTTAGTTTAATATAGGAAAGGTATGATACATAATATGATACAAAGGTATAGTAGCTTATGTTTTAAACATGTAGTTTTTACAGAGTTTTGACAAATTGCAGTATTTGACAAGCACTTTATATTGTCGCCATTAATTGTGTCGTGAACGAAATAAATGATAAGAGTTGGCTTTTGATAAAAATGATCTTATGTACCAGTTGAAAGCTATGAATGACAACAAAATGTACAAAACAATAAACAATGAATCGATATCGTTCAAAAGCTTAATATATAATAAGCAAATAAGATTACTTGAAAAAATGAATTTGTTTGTACAGAAGATTCTTCATATAAATTTCGCCAAAATAAGAATGAATAAAGAAGTTTTGACAACAATTTTGTGAAAGTAAATGCTTTATCTGTAATATTTGAGCGAATTTAACAGTATCGACTGTAGGTTTGATAGATAAACGGTAATAAAGATCAGACAAATACTTGCATTATTGTGGTACAGGGAGTTCTACATGCAAATGCGACATGTGAACCAATACCGTCAAGTGCATGGTTGTAACATCATTTTTAGTCATTATTCGATGTCACACAATACAAGAATGTTTACACAGTTACATTTCTGTTAGCAACTATACATAGTTATACACTGCACTTACCCATGACATATAAGAGGTACAGAGTGGTCCAATAGACCAGAGAAGACAGCATGTGCAGCTTTTTCACAAGCACCTTCTGTGGCATCACTACCTATGATATCGAGAAGTTGCTGCAGATGTGTTTTGAGCGTTGGAGTATCTATCAACGTTGCTTTAAACAGAAAACAAATACATGTTGAAAGCTACTTATCACATGAATTCAATTCAATATTGCTTGCTTTGTTTACCGGATGACAAATAAAGTAAATCAACTATGTATTTTAGAACAAAGATGAGCTTCATGAAGTGCATCACAATGCAGTATGAAAAAGTGACTATTTAATTATCTGGCAAATAAATATTTAAACTAAATACTAGCTGCTAAATATTCACATACTTTGTTTTGTATTTTACTATTGTCCTCCAGAGTCCAGTGTTAATTGACTAAAAATAATTTGTAGCATTTATACTTACTTATTTGATCTAAGAGATATCTTTTCTCAGGTACTGTAAGAAAATATGTAAACTGTAAGAGAATATTTTAAAAAGAGAAGGCTGAACATTATAGAAGATTTGTTTTAATCATAAAACTTTTGGATACATCATATCTTATAATTATAGATAAAGAAAGCATTAAAAAACGTTCATCTTTGTACAAATTATTCTAAATCAAGTATGCAATACTTGCATTAGTTTTTTTTTTTAATTTTTCTCCAGTCATAAATACTCATTATAATTTGGTCACACGCTACACAAGCAGATAGTTTAAACTTAAAAATGATGAAAAGCTTAACATAAAGTAACGCAACAAAAAAAAATGCGAAAAGAAGATTCGATTTTTAAAGGTTGTCTATATAAGTATGTGCATATAATGAATTTACCAATTGCGAGACGTTTGACTGAGCTGGTTGACGGCACTATTTGGAAATGGTGAATAAGCTCCTGGAATCTTTAAATAGAAAATAATGCTAAGTGAAACATGCATAGAATTATGTTCAGTTTAATATAGGAATGGTATGATATAATATGATACAAAGGTGTAATGGCTTAAGTTTTAAATATGTTGTTTTAACAGAGTTTTGACAAATTGCAGTATTTGACATGCACTTTATATTGTCGCCATTAATTGTGTCGTGAACGTAATAAATGATAAGAGTTGGCTCGTCATAAAAAATATATTATGTACCTGTTCAAAGCTATAATTGACAACAAAAATGTACAAAACCATAAACAATTAATCGATATCGTTCAATGGATAATACAATGAACAAACAAGATTACTTGAAAAATGAATTTGTCTATACATAAAATGCTGAATATAAACTTGACAAAATGTGAATGAATAAAGAGGCTTTTTTACAACAATTTTGTAAAAAAGATTTTTTTATTTTGAAATATTTGACCAAGTATAGGAGTTTCGTCTGTAGGTTAGATAGATAGAGGATGATTAAGATCAGACAAATACTTGCATTATTGTGGTACAGGGAGTTCTACAAAGCAAATACAACATGCAAATGCAACATGTGAACCAATACCGTCATGTGCATGGTTGTAACATCATTTTTAGTCATTATTTGCTGTCACACAATACAAAAATGTGTAAAAAGTTATATTTCTGTAAGCAACTATACATAGTAATACAATGCACTTACCCATGACATATAAGAGGTACAGAATGGTCCAAAAGACCAGAGAAGACAGCATGTGCAGCTTTTTCACAAGCACCTTCTGTGGCATCACTACCAATGATATCGAGAAGTTGCTGGAGATGAATTTTCAATGTGGGTGTATCTATCAACGATGCTTGAAATGGAAAAGAATATGTTGAAAGCTTCTCATCATGTGAATTTAATTCAATAATTGCTTGCTTTGTTTATCGGATGATAAATTAAGTAAATCAACTGTATCAAAGATGAGCTTTATGAAGTGCATTATAATGCAGTAAGAAATTGTGACTATTTAATTACGTGGCAAGTAAATATTAAAACTGAATACTAGCTGGTCAATATCCACATACTTTTGTTGTTATTTTTACTATTGTCCTTTATAGTCCAGTGTTTATTGATTATATATAATTAGTAGCATTTATACTTACTTAATTGATCTAAGAGATATCTTTTCTCAGGTACTGTAAGAAAATATGTAAACTGTAAGAGAATATTTTAAAAAGAGAAGGCTGCACATTATAGAAGATTTGTTTTAATCATAAAAATTTTGGATACATCATATCTTATAATTATAGATAAAGAAAGCAATAAAAAAAACGTTCATCTTTGTACAAATTATTCTAAATCAAAATCGCAATACTTGCATTAATTTTTTTTTAATTTTTCTCCAGTCCTAAATACTTATAAAAATTTGGTCACACGCTACACAAGCAGATAGTTTAAACTTAAAATGATAAAAAGCTTAAAATAAAGGCAGGCAACATTTTTTTTTTTTTGCAAAAAGATCAGATTTTTAAAGTATGTCTATATAAGTATGTGCATATGATGAATTTACCAACTGCGAGACGTTTGACTGAGCTGGTTGATGGCACTATTTGGAAATGGTGAACAAGCTCCTGGAATCTTTAAATAGAAAATAATGCAAAGTGAAACATCCATGGAATTATGTTCAGTTTAATACAGGAAAGGTATGATACATAATATGATACAAAGGTATAGTAGCTTATGTTTTAAACAAATTGCAGTTTTTACAGAGTTTTGACAAATTGCAGTATTTGACAAGCACTTTATATTGTCGCCATTAATTGTGTCGTGAACGAAATAAATGATAAGTTGGCTTTTGATAAAAATGATCTTATGTACCAGTTGAAAGCTATGAATGACAACAAAAATGGTCAAATCAATAAACAATCGATTTCGGTCACAAGCTTAATATACTATAAGCAAATAAGATTACGTTAAAAAAAAATGAACATTTGTCTGTACAGAAGTTTCTGAATATTAATTCGACATAATGACAATGCATAAATATGTTTTTGACAACGATTTTGTGAAAGTGAATGCTTTATCTGAAATATTTGAGCGAATATAACAGTATCGACTGTCTGTTAGATAGATTAAGGTTAATAAAGTACAAACAAATGCTTGCATTATTACGGAACCGTAAGTTCTACAAAGAAAATACGACATGTGAACATTTCTGTGAGCAACGTAACATAGTTTTACACTGCACTTACGAATGGCATATAAGTGGTACAGAATGGTCCAATAGACCAGAGAAGATAGCATGTGCAGCTTTTTCACAAGCACCTTCTGTGGCATCACTACCAATGATATCGAGAAGTTGCTGCAGATGGTCTTTCAATGTGGTAGTATCTATCAACTGGGCTTAAAATAGAACACAAAATAATGTTGAAAACATCTTATCATATGAAATTAATTCAATAATTGCTTGCTTTGTTTACCGGATGACAAATAAAGTAAATCAACTGTGACTTTTAAAACAAAGAGGATCTTTTAAAGGTTTATTATAATGCATTAAGAAATTGGGACTATTTAATTATGTGACAAATAAATATTTAAACTAAATACTAGCTACTCAATATTCACATCCGTACTGTTGTCCTTAAGAGTCAAGTGTTTATTTATTATATCTAATAAGTAGCATTTATACTTACTCAACTGATCTATGAGAAATCTTTTCTCGGGTACTGTAAGAGAATATGTAACTGTTAAAGAATATTTGAAAAAAAGGAGGCTGAATATTAAATTATAAACAAAGTCGGATACTTCAATTGAAATTACCCATTTCTAAAGATAAAAAGACATTTCAATAAAAAAAATCTTCAAAAATCGGTTCATCACTATTTGTCTTTACCAAATAAAAATTTTGAACACTTCAATTTTTTTAATAATGCCAATATTTTTATTCATTTACTAATTAATTTTGATGTAGATAATTTGCAATACACGGTCATCTTTGCACACATCATTCTTATACAAAACGCAATACTCGCACCCCCCCCCCCCCCCCCCCAGTTCTATATATTATTTTAAATTTGGCCACATGCTGCACAAGCAGATAGTTTAAACATATTTTGATAAAAGAAATAATTTATAGATCTTAAAATATATGAACGCGACAAAAATATTATTTTGCGAAAAGAAGACCAAGCTTGGTAGGTGAATATGATGAATTTACCAACTGCGAGACGTTTGACTGAGCTGGTTGATGGCACTATATGGAAATGGTGAATAAGCTCCTGTAATCTTTAAATAGAAAAATAATGCCATAGAATTATATTCAGTTTAATATAGGAATGGTATGATATATTGTGATACAATGTATAATGGCTTATGTTTAAAACATGTATACATATAGTATTTGCAAACTTTTGGCAAATTGCAGTATCTGACAAGCACTTTCTACTGTAGCAATTAATTGTGCCGTGAACGAAATAAATGATAAGAGTTGGCTTTTGATAAAGATAATCTTATGTACCAGTTGAAAGCTATGAATGACAACAAAAATGGTCAAATCAATAAACAATCAATTTCGGTCACAAGCTTAATATACTATAAACAATCAAGATTACTTTAAAAAAACAACATTTGTCTGTACAGAAGATTCTGAATATTAATTCGACCTAATGACAATGCATAAAGATGTTTTTGACAACGATTTTGTGAAAGTGAATGCTTTATCTGAAATATTTGAGCGAATATAACAGTATCGACTGTCTGTTAGATAGATTAAGGTTAATAAAGAACAAACAAATGCTTGCATTATTACGGAACCGTAAGATCTACAAAGAAAATACGACATGTGAACATTTCTGTGAGCAACGTAACATAGTTTTACACTGCACTTACGAATGGCATATAAGTGGTACAGAATGGCCTAATAGACCAGAGAAGATAGCATGTGCAGCTTTTTCACAAGCACCTTCTGTGGCATCACTTACCAATGATATCGAGAAGTTGCTGCCAGATGGTCTTTCAATGTGGTAGTATCTATCAAACTGGGCTTAAAATAGAACACAAAATAATGTTGAAAACATCTTATCATATGAAATTAATTCAATAATTGCTTGCTTTGTTTACTGGATGACAAATAAAGTAAATCAACTGTGACTTTTAAAACAAAGAGGATCTTTTAAAGGTTTATTATAATGCATTAAGAAATTGGGACTATTTAATTATGTGACAAATAAATATTTAAACTAAATACTAGCTACTCAATATTCACATCCGTACTGTTGTCCTTAAGAGTCAAGTGTTTATATAAATCTAATAAGTAGCATTTATACTTACTTAATTGATCTAAGAGATATCTTTTCTCTGGTACTGTAAGAGAATATGTAAACTGTAAGAGAATATTTTAAAAAGAGAAGGGTGAACATTAAAGAAGATTTGTTGTAATCATAAAGTAGTTGGATACATCAAATTGAATTGAAATCATTTTATAATCATAGAAAAAGAAAGCATTTCAATAAAAAAAAACTTCAAAATCTGTTCGATGCATCTTTTGAACACTTCAAATTTTTATAATGTCAATATATAGTTTCTCAAATTAATTTGAGTTAGATAATTTCTATTAGATGTTCATCTTTACACAAATTATTCTAAATCAAGTTTGCAATACTTGCATTAGTTTTCTTTCTAATTTTTCTCCAGTTCTAAATACACGGTACACAAGCAAATAATGATGAAAGGCTTAAAATAAAGGAACGCAACACAAAAGTTTTGCGAAAAGAAGATTCGATTTTTAAGTATGTTTATATAAGTATGTGCATATGATGAATTTACCACCTGCGAGACGTTTGACTGAGCTGGTTGACGGCACTATTTGGAAATGGTGAACAAGCTCCTGGAATCTTTAAATAGAAAAAAAAAATGCAAAGTGAAACATGCATAGAATTATGTTCAGTTTAATATAGGAAAGGTATGATATAATATGATACAAAGGTATAATTGGCTTTTGATTAAACGTGTAGTTTTTACAGAGTTTTGACAAATTACAGTATTTGGCAAGCACTTTATATTGTTGTCATTAATTGTGTCGTGAACAAAATAAATGATAAGACGTAAGATTTGGCTTATGATAAAAAAGATATTATGTACCTGTGGAAAGCTATAAATGCAACAATTTTGTGAAAGTGAATGTTATTTTCTGAAATATATGACGGAATATATCAGTATCGACTGTCTGTTAGATAGATACAGGTTATAAAGATGAGAAAAAAAGTTACATTATTATGAAACAGTGAGTTCTTTAAAAAAAAATACGACATATGAACCAATACGGACAAGTGCATGGTTGTAACATCTTGTCGTTTAAGCCTTGACCGTGGTCACAAAATATGATAATATTTAAGCAGTTAAATTTCTGAAAGCAACTTAACATAGTTTTACACTGAACTTACGAATGGCATATAAGTGGTACAGAATGGTCCAATAGACCAGAGAAGATAGTATGTGCAGCTTTTTCACAAGCACCTTCTGTGGCATCACTACCAATGATATCGAGAAGTTGCTGCAGATAGGCTTTCAATGTGGATATATCTATCGACGATGCTTGAAATGGACATAAAACATGTTAAAAGTATCTTATCGTATGAATTCATTTCAATAATTGCTTGCTTTGTTTACCGGATGACAAATAAAGTAAATCAACTGTGTTTTTAGAACAAAGTGGAGCTTTTTGAAGTGCATCATAATGCAGTAAGAAATAAATCAAATAATAGTTGCTCAATGTTAACATGCCAGTTTATATATTTTACTGTTGTCCTTTAGAAACCAGTGTTTATTGATTAAATCTAATAAGTAGCATTTATACTTACTCAAATGATCTAAGAGATATCTTTTCTCAGGTACTGTAAGAGAATATGTTTAAAAGAGAAGGCTGAACATTATAGACAATTTGTTTTAATCATAAAGAAAGTAGGATACTTCAAACTGAAATCACCTAAAATTATAAGAGATAAACAAACCATTTCAATAAAAAAGCCTTAAAATCTGTTCGTTACTATTTGTCTTTACTTAATCAAAATTTTGACTACATCAAATTTCCATAATGCCAATATTTTAATTCGTTAACTAATTAATTTGATGTAGATGATTTGATCAAACGCTCATCTTTGCACAAATATTTCTTATACAATTTCGCAATACTTGCATTAATTTTGTAAGGTTTCTCCAGTATTATAAACTATGGTGGCTGATTTGTGCCATTCTTCCCACCAAGCAAAAACACGCTAATTAGCGCCCCCGCAAATAAGCGTGTTTTCGCTCTGCGCCTCCCCACCATCTAAACTTGTTAATTCTCGGCTTCTCGCTTGGCGGGGTCGCGGTACGAAAACACGCAAATAGCGGGTCGCGCGGCGAAATTTTATTCTTTATATATTCGCCCAGCGCCCTCGCTAATGAGTGTGTTTTTACTCCGCGCCCCGCCATTTAAACTTGTTTATTCTCGACATTTCGCTCCGTGGGGTCGCGGGACGAAAACAAGCTTATTAGCGTTATTTATTTATTCATTTAATAAACTTCGCCCCGCGCCCCCGCTAATTAGCTTGTTTTCGTCCTGCGACCTCGCCGTTTTATTTCTTGAACCTCGCTTCGCAACACGCAACATCGCTTCGCACCCCGCGAGGCGGAATTATATTTATTAATCTTCGCCCCGCGCCCTAGTTAATAAGCGTGTTTTCGTTTAGCGCCCCGCCATTTTAACTTTTCAATTTTCGACTTTTCACTTGGCGGGGTCCGGAGGCGAAAACACGAATGGCACCAATCAGCAACCATAATAAACTCTTAAAAGATGAAATAAATAAGTAAAAGATTGCGAAAAAATGCGAAAATAGTCCACACTTGATAATTCAACTTTATAGAAAATATGTTTATATAAGTTTGCGCATATAATGAATTTACCAACTGCGAGACGTTTGACTGAGCTGGTTGATGGCACTATTTGGAAATGATGAACAAGCTCCTGTAATCTTTAAATAGAAAATGATATAAAGTAAAACTTTCATAGATTAATTTTCCGTAAACATTTAAATGACATGGTACAGTAAACATTTGCAAGGTACAGAAGCTGCATTTTGAAACATGTATAAATGTGGTATTAATAGTTTTATAACGACTTGCTTGCAGTATTGACAAGAACTTCCTACTGTTCAGATTTATTTTGTTGTGAACGACAAAAATAAAAATAAAAACAATGAATCGATATCGTTCAAACTAGATATTGTTTGAAACACTAAATTTGCTTCTGAATCTTGTAGCAATGCACTTTTCGAGATGACGAAATGTAAAATTAATTCCCGGAAATGAACAAAGATATTATTGACAGCGCTTGTGTTGTATGAAGATATGACTGAATATTTCAGTATCGATTGTAGTTTAGATAGATAATGGTTGATAAATTATACATGTAAAATACGACATATGAACCAATACGGACAATTGCGTGATAGTAACATCTTAATAAAAACATGAATGTTTTAGTATTTTGTCACTGTCACACAAGATAATAATGTTACTACAGTAGTACGTGTAAATAAAAGTAAACAATTAATACTCTGCACTTACGAATGGCATATAAGAGGTACAGAATGGTCCAATAGACCAGAAAAAACAGTATGTGCAGCTTTTTCACAAGCACCTTCTGTGGCATCACTACCAATGATATCGATAAGTTGCTGGAGATGAAGTTTCAATGTGGGTGTATCTATCAACGATGCTTGAAATAGAAAACATTTTCTCATTATAACAATTTTTGTTACGCACCCTTGCACAAGCTAAGTCAGTGTGAAAAAATATTTTTAAAATGTAGGCCTACTGGTATGGATTTACAAAAGACTTACCTGCTCTCAATTCTGTTAAGATTTAACATTGTTTATCAGGCAATCAACATTTTAGAATTTATTTTGCTATTAGAAGTTGCACTTGTTTTATGTTATGACCAGAAAGCATTTAACCGATACGAGACAAAATTTATGTGTACCTCCATTTTACTTAAATCTTATTCAAAACAAAAAAAATAACGTTAATCTTAAAATACATATACTTACTGATAGTTTCTATAAATCTTTTCTCGGGGACTGCCATGGCCAGGGCGGGTAAAATAATAAGTAATGTAAACAGTTTCATCTTGATCTGTAAATAAAACATTAACTAAAAATCAAACAATCTCGTTCATTTCAGAACCATTTCGGGTTTTACATTAAAATTCCAGGATTAAGAATCGCGGATTCAAACTCGTAAGATAAGTGTGGATACTGTACATATAAATCAACAAAATTGTAGCATGACCAGGAATGTAGGGGAAAAAGATCTTTATACATGATAGTAAATAAAAGAATATAGACGTCTCAATTCCAATAGAAATTTAGAGTCTCTAAAAAGTGCAAGTAAAATGTACAAAAAGGAAATAAGATTAAAGGTTAATAAGTATAATAAAACTATTTACATTAAGTTCAGAAATTTAGGTCGTTCAGACCGCAGAGCTCATTGGTCTTTAATGAATAAGCACTCTTTAGAAAGAATAAAAAATTACGTCCAATCTTAGTGCAGAGGCGTTTTATGAACATTTCAGTTAATTAAATGAAAATAATGAGAAAGGGGATGTTGATATTGACATTATCAATATTTCAGATTATACTTTTGAATGGCGAAATTTTGAATGCTATTAATGGCTTAAGTAATAACAAAGCTTGTTCTTTACATGACAATAATTGAACGAGTATATCAAGTACTCTAAAGATATCATGCTGTCTGTTTTAAATGATTTCTTTTTAAACAATTAATGTTATCTTTTAACTCAGCATGTGCCCCAGAAGACGGATGCAAAGGAGTTGTCTTTCCTATTTTTAAAAAAAGGTGATATAAATAACCTATACAACTACAGAGGAATCACTAAAGTTGTTTAGTATTCTCAATTACAGACTTAATACTTTTCTAGAAAATTCATGATTATTATGTAAAGAGCAGCATCGTTTTCGTAAAGATTATGGAACTGTAGATCATATATTTACTTTGAAATTGTCATTTGATTTTAATCTTAGTAAGAATACGGAATTATATTGTGCATTTGTCGATTATAAAAAAATACTTTCGATTCTGTAAATAGAACATTTTATGGAAGAAACTTTTAAAGCACAAAGTAGATCATAAAATGCTAGGAGTAATTTATAATATTAATGACAAAACTAAATCATGCAACCAGGATTTATCAACTTCTTTTACAAGTGCAACAAGGTGTCCGTCAAGATGAAAACGGATCACCTGTTCTTTGGATATCTCAGATATGTATAATGCACGGTCTGTTAAAATGTACTAAGTGATGATATAGCAGAGGTTTATTTTAAATTGTTTTTACTGCTTTACGCTGATGATATACTGTAATTTTTGCAGAATCCGCGTCTGATTTTCAATAAGTGCTATGTCTTCTTATAACGAGTTAAGGAAACTTCTTTTTTTTCAAAAGGATAATGTAGAAATACACATTCTTTTTACTTCAACAATGCCATACATGGTATCAAGATTAATCTTAATACTTAATAAACTAAACTAAATATCTTTGTGACCAAGCTAGAAAAATATGTCTGTTGTCATATGGTGTAGGAGTCTGGGATGTAGGTAACATATTGTATTGTAAAACAGATTCAGTTGAAATATCGTGAACTCATAATGGATAGCTCAGGTTAAAATCATTGGAAGAGCTTGGTTTTGCTGGATACCGGATGAACCAATCTGTATTGTCGACTTTCTATTAACAAATACTCTGAAAAGTAGAATCAAAGAACAATATGTTCAAATGTGTCATGAACAGGTGTTTAACTCTAGCAAATGTATCACTTACAGAATTAAATTTTAAATCGTCATTTTAGTAAGAACCTTATTCATAACTTTTAACTTGGCGCTATGTAGATTTAGATTTAGCAAGAATAATATCTATTGTGAAAAAATGTTTACCACCTTCTAGTGAGTCTTTTTTGTCAAGTATTGTCTTGAGTTTCATTATTTGATTTATTTATTTTTTTTTATGGATTTTATTTAATTTTTTATTTAATCTTTATCATCTTTTTTGTCTTATGACATTTGTAATCGCATTATGACACTTCTTATAATGCCAGTGATACTGGTTAAACAGGCATGGTGTGGTTATAACTTGGGATTTCATTAACCCCATGTTGTGGTTACACCATGGCAACGCGTCACTTCATTTGGTTAGGAATTTTCATGATGTGGTTGCATTGTGTTACTAGTATTTTATCACTTTCTGGTCTCTCATCTCTATAAGTAAAATATAAGTATCTCTAGTTTTATTATTGTATTTTATAAGTATCTCTAGTATTGTATTTATCATGCAAATTAGTATGCCCACAATACTAATAAAACATGAATTATTTGTGACAGAATTTCGTAAAAATTAAAATCCTAGCTGATACTCCAAGATGAATAAGCTTTATGACTTGATTGTAATCTTGCCGTCTGTTGCTTTTTGTAATTGTTGTTGTTGTTGTTGTTTTGATATTTAAGTCGCTATTAATTTTTTACATTTCCAGTTGTATTCCAGCCATGCAATATTGGGTCTATTACTGCTGGGTTTTTTTATTCGTATACTGCGCATAATTTTAATTGATAAGCGTGTTCATACTAGTTTATATTGTGTGCGCATTAATAATCATTTTTATTGCTATTTTCTTTTATAGTTTGTTACTGGTACTTATTTCTATTGACTGTCCCAATAAGTTATGGACAACAGAGATTAAATGCAAAATACTCTTTACTGACATTTCAAACGCTATTGCTGAGTGAACATGCAAACATTAGAACAAATTATAAGGCTATCTAGGAATGCAATGCTTTCCACGCTCCAATGTCAAAATAACGTCAAGTGACATTATGTCAATGTCTCTTTTTTCTTTACTATCAGCTCTGTGAGGGATGCACTTTTAAGTAAAGCCACCTTCTTAAACTAGACATAAACATACTGATTTTTTTGAAATTCTCAGCACACTAAATGTTTTACAATCTTAAATTTCTAAAAGACTGGAACTGTTTGATATTTGTCTTCATTAACAATGTTTTGTTTTAATTTTCTCCTGTGATCATAATTGCTTGACTACGGGCATACCATTTTTGCTTCATTTTTTGTCATCTGTGACAGGTTTCTTATGACACTTGTATATCAACGATCACAAAACATTCTGGTCCATTTCCATGTGTTTTAACTTGTTTCACATGACCGTAGATGCCATTTAGCACTAAAAGCAAAATCGTGTAAATGCTGATTCAGACTCACGAGTCAATCTGAATATATACCAAGACAAAAAGTTAGAATTTCGGATAAAATGATTTCTATGCAAATAACTGAGCAAACCAGGGGGGTGGGGGCTCCTATTTATGTTTTAATAATAGAGCTATTCAACTAGGAATTCAAATGTAGTGAACGGCAAAAACGGCAGAATTAAAAATGTTTCATCCTTAGTTTGATTGAGCCTGTTTAATTTGCTAAACTCAATTATACACATTTTTCTTTTCATTCTTTCTTATTTCAAAAATTCGTATTTTGCATTCCGTAATAATTATTTTGTACTTTTAGCTGTTATTTCGTTTTCACAGTTAAATTTTTGAACACACAAACATTTTACATGTGTATATATTTTACAAGTATTTCGTCTTCATCGTTAAATCTATATATTATTCCGTTTTGATGATATAAATTATTTATATACTGCCACAGACAATTTTATTTTCATATCTTTATATTAAATGTTGTCTACAGCTTACCTCTTAAGTAAGTCCAACTGTAAGCTAATCAATGAGGATGATTAGGGGGATTTTCTTGTCTTTTATAGGTTCAGTGTAAATTACGTAAGTGATGCACTTTGTCAAGGTTCTAACTTATCGCATTTCAAGCATGTCACATGACGCGGGATATATGAGTATGCATGTTTAACATACACTTGCCGACAAAGCTGACCCTCCATTCTACTTTTTTTCCAAGATAAAACCAAGTGTATTATGCCATTTGTTTAACCATTATTTGACAAATTGAATCAAATTTGTTCATTTCTATGCTCCCTGAAGGGAGAGTATATATCCGCTGCCGTGCCTGTCATTCCGTCATCCCGTCCGTCCTTCCTGCCGTTTTGTCTGGAGAATAACTTGAAAAGTATTGAAGGAATCTTATTAAAACTTCACAGAGTGACAGAGACCATTGACAGGAAGTGCAGTGTTCAAGAATCATAACTAAAGTTTTGATTTATCTCTTTTAAATTAAAAACGCTTGTTCAGAGTATAACTTCAAAACTATCAATGATATCTTATTGAAATTTCACATAGTTGTAGAGGCAAAAAAGTGCAGGGTCAAAGAACCATGAATCTACATTGCTTAGGTTTTTAGTTATCACCCTTTATAATATTAGAAATGCTTGTGCGCATAAAGACTTGAAAAATATTGAAGGATGAGGAAGTGAAGTATGCAAAAGCCATAATTCTTTCTTGTTTAATTCTTTTAATTTTCTCCCTTTATGATACTTAAAGAGTTCTAATAATGCTTTGGTCACTTAGGTTAAGATCAACGTCACTGATGCTTAAAATAGATTTTAGACTTTTGCTCATACAGCTTTTGTTTGTTTACTACTTTCTTTAATGTTTAGTATGAAGATACTTTTGGTGGTCCTGTACTTTTTGTGAAGTAAAGGGGCAGTTGCTTTAAACTTATTATATAAGCTCAATTGCGAAAAAAGTTCTTACAACTTATATTAATCACTTTCGAATATGCTTCCTGGAACCAACCAGTACTGGTATAATATGAAGCAACATGGTCGTGACCCGATTAGGGCTCAACCCCATGATCCCTGTTAAAAGGCAGACACCTTAACCACTAGGCCATCGCTAAATGGGACAATTGGAATACTAAGGTCAAGGTCACTGGTGCTAAAATTAGTTGTTATACATTGCTTATACAGCCTATATTTTTCTAATTCAGTAGATACATATCATGGGTGGTACTTGAACTGTGGGTGAAAAAGGAGGAATCATTTGTTACAAGGTCAAGATTTTTCAAAAAGGAGTTTTACAATTTTTCTCATGCAACCTTTATTAATTGACTGGTGTATTTCATATCAGGCCAACAGATAAAAGGGTCAAAGTCAACTACTTTAACCTTTCTTCAATTTTGGAAACAATTAAAACGAAGTACTTCAAAATACAAGCGTTTATTTTATTTATGTTTATACTTAAAAAAGTATTGTTTTCACTGCAAATATTCTTTAAATTTTTTGATGCTAATAGTAGTGCTTCTGATAGCAGTCACTTTAAGTGCTGTTTACGATGAATCATTTTAATTGCTGTAAACAACTAAAATACAATTCTGGTGAGGACAAACTTTTGTAATTGCTTTGAACAACCAAAATAAATTTGGATAAATTTCTTGCTGTTAACAAGTAAAACGTAAGTTTCCAGGCCTGTTTTATTAAATGTTCATTTTCTGTTACGCAGTACAATCTGGTGACATTCCAAAACCAGATGAAATTCTATATTCTAAAACTTCATTTTTAGATATATTTTTTTTAAACAATGACTAGTATAAGATAACGTACCGCACTAACACAATTAGCTATGTGACCATATCTTGATTTTAAACGTTTTATTTAAGATTTAAGATTTTAATGAAGTATTTAAGTGCAATTTTAGTTTAGATAAGTGCGCACGGTCATCAATTCTTTGACGCCTCTTCTTTTTGTGTATACAAACGGCATTGAACTCATTGAGGTCTGCATGATTTAAGTACAAAGATAAAATTTTATGATAAACTTTTCGCATGAAAAATGTCAAACTATAGGGTTTTTTATAGATGTTTTTACTAGTAGCGGTAATTCTATATTACTTTAGAGTGTTCTCCAATTGCTTTAGTTCAACAATGGATTGCCTTCTACGAATACAAAAAAAAGTATTTAAAATGAAACCCTCCTTGCTTTACATAATGTTTATCAAAACACTTCCTTTCAATGGCAACCATTGAAGTCATGTCTAAACGTTTTATTATTTCTAGTTAGTTATTCTGTAAAACAACCCTTAAATTGTTTATCGAATATGTTGTAATTAAATCAACAAAGCGTCATCTTAGAAAATTTCCACAGAATGTGTCTTTGCAAAATTTTAAAGTACACAAATTGCCTTCTTGTGTATTATCATAAAGATCATAGAAAAATATCAAACTGTATGTGACCGCCATCCTAGATTTTAATTTATACGATATACTTAAGACGAAGGACTTAATTTTAGTAATTCCTTATCTTCAGTCACCACATTATAAACTGAGACAAGGCTTTTATTTAAATATGGCATAGACATAGTGTCACGAGGTGCTAAAATGTCTGACGTATCTTCAACTTTACATTGTGACAAGTGTGATAAGCTAAAAGAAGACGCTCAAATCACGATAGTGATAGTGGTGATCATGAACTACAGTTACTTATGCACGAATATTACACCCACAAAATCATTGGCAAATCGGCATTTAAAAGTCAGGTCTTTAACCACCATCTACAAAAGAATAATAATTTTGTTTTAGGAAGAAGTATTCGCGTCTCTAAGAGACCCTTCTCCTATCCTACTTTAAGATTAACGTCCACAAACACTATAAAGGTAATATGGCGACTTCCCAGCGTTACTGGTGAATCAGGATCTTAGGCTACTTCGCCCCTGTAAATGAATTAATATTTATATCATTATAAACTATAGTACACAGTTAAAAAAAAATTTGACTGTCAAAAAAAAAAATCTATGACGAAGTTATGTTTAATGGGTTTGCTTTCTATCTGCTGTATTTACTGTTTATTGTTTACAATTGTTTTATTTTTATTTTTTTATGATTAAGTACTGTAATATTTATTAAGGAAATTTTATACTAAAGGATAAGCTTTATTTTTAAATTGCGTTATTTCATTATATTGTTAACAACATAAATTGCACTGATAAATTTTGTGAAACAATCCCAGAGCTAATCCAGTCTGGGTTTATTTCACGTGTAATTATGCTTGGACATGGTATATACAGTAGAGATAAAGTTCTCCATCTTCCAAATAGTGTATATACATGTACATTTATTTATATCTATTCAACTAAAAGAGGGATGAGTACTTATAATAAAGATAAAACAATGTCACTTAGTACTCTTCAGCCAATATTCATCACCGAAGTTTGGCGGAAATACCCGAGAATCTTCGGTTGACAGCGACTCTTTCAGGATATTTTAAGAGCAATTGTTTTAATTATAATTTCAAAACATTGTAAGCAAGGAAATGCAACAATGCAATGAAACAGGACTGATTGACTGGCAAAAGCAAAGCGTGAGAGGATATATTCCATTACAAGCTCGACTTGAGAGATAATAATTGGAATGTACACTACCAAAATACCGGAATACCCGATAACAGATATAAGAAAGACGAAATAGGGTCATAAGGAAAATACTCAATTTTGCCTTTATTTTACTTTCTACAACAAAATGTTTTTGTTTAAGCCAAATTTGTTAAAAGTTTGCCCCACAATTAATATAAAAAGTTTTGGGAGATGTACCTTTAGCTGCATCCCAGATACCACAGTCATCTTGGAAATCGCTGTGTTATGGTGTGTTTTTTTTTTAATTTTAGATAATACAGTATACATTTTCCTTAACTCCCCCCCCCCCCCCGGAATTTCTTCCAGACGTTTAACTTCAGACGTAAGGAGGACAGTTTCTGAACCCGTGCAAAGGACCTGTTTTTTCCGTCAGATGCCATAGACTGCGCGTTTACATTTTCACATAATACTTCAGCGGAAATCAAATGTAATAGATTTATTATTATGTACCTCGTCCGACTTTAATTCAGATTTTTTCATAGGAAATTGATGCATCAACGTTTACGTAATAATTAGATGTTATTTCGGGAAAAATAAACATTGGAGTCATATTGCCAAAACAAACTAGTAAAAACGATTCGTTCCAGATCAAGATACTCCTATAATAACTGTATTGAATCTTATCTTATCTTATGGCAGGTCTGTTCATTAGATATAACTGAAGGTGCAACATGTATCGTGCCCTCTAGCACCGATTTTAGTGATTTTGTATTCCTCAACTCTTCATGTAACGATTAACTTTCACTTAAAACGTTCTTCACAGTAGAATCTACATATAATTGGTGCACTGCAGATAATCATCTGTACATTATAGTTGCAACATATAGACTTATTGTATGATTTTATCATTGTAATTATAAAATTCAACTTCATACTGAATAGGTTTATGGTGAAATTATTTTAAAGAAGAAAATACTGGATTCACATTTCTGCAAAATATTTCAAAAACGAAGTTTATAACATTTAGATAATAATAAGTAATAATATGATCACAATGTAATCATAACTTGTAACAACGAGGTACTTTATGTGTACAGGTTGGAAATAAACTTTTCTTCTTCTTTCTTCTTGTTTTATAAAGTGATTAATAAATATTACAATGGAACATGAAACTAGTTTTTTTTAAACAAACGCAATTTCCCAGATGTGTAGCCATCAGTTTTTCTATTTTTAGATTATTTTCCTGTTTAATATATCTCACATGTGTAACAATCTTGCTCGTACGTACCTGAATCCTCCATGTCTTTAATTGATATTCACGCGCTAAATAAACGTTTTATCAGTCATTCACAATTTAAAGACCATACATATGGAAAATAACGTTCATTTTTATAATAAATCATAAGACAGTCAAGGCTTTCCATACGTACAGGTATATGTAAGCTAAAGACCCATCTGTCGTAGATCGCCATGCGCTTTATTGCTGTTACGATAGGCTTGTGCTAAAGTCACGTGTTATAGTGAAGAAACGTGATTGGGTAGCAGTCATGTTTTTTACGTCATTGATGTAACGCCCATCTTCTTGCTTAAGCTTTATCTGATGGCAAGAGGATATTATTTTTTATGTAATTTTGAAAGATGAAAACAACTAAAAGAGAATTGTTTTACTTTTTTGTTGAAAAATGGTGAAAAATAGTGAAAAATACACTAATACTGTTTATCTCGCTTATTTCATTTTGCAAGATGTTGACTAACAAGAATATTTCTTTCCCTGAAACGAAATGAAATATAAATGAAAACTTAGCAAATTACAAATGATCTTATTTTATGTTAAGAAGACTAGTTATATAAACATTGATTTACGAAACATAGACAATACATAAATGATAAAAAGACGATGTTAACTTGAACAAAACATTCTAGCATTCCAACGTTTTAATATGTTTTTCTATTCATGCATTTACTTGTATTTTTTATAACGGATAGATACAATCTTTCTTCTTGTAGGGTCATTAGATATTTAGAAATATATTCATTTTGGCCTAATGTTTTGTGGTATCCAAACAAGAGGAAGAGAGCGTGTCAGCTTGTCTTTAGACATGCCCTACCGCATATCAGACAGAAATGATCCGGTATAAGTTTTCTCCCTATCTCATATCTTGTATATGCTTTACCACAACACTGGTACCCCATGTTGAGCTATTGTTTGTTTAACCCGGGAGCGGGTAAAATGTGATCCGATCCACAATTTGGAAGCAATTAAACGATTAAAAGATAATTGTTTGTTCCGGAAAGGTGTATTCAAAATGCATATAGTTCTTTTGGGAAACTCAGAAAGTGAGGTCTACTTCTTTTCATGACTATCCCAAAGAAGCGTTTTAAAGAATAAAGAGAAAAATAATAATAATAAAATGGATGTTTAATTGTGCTGTATAAAGCATATCTCTGATTTTGTGGAATATACTTAACAGTTTTTGCGTGCATTTATAAAGTTATTTTTCGTATTAAGAAATATTCATTGGAATATAATGTGACATTTAAAAAGAGGCACTTGTGATTATATTATTCTTATAAAAACAAGTGTTTATTTTTATGTTAAACAAGATACATATTTTTAAAGTGACATTTTCAGTTAAATTATATAAAATGTTTTCAACGAATCCATATTTACCAAACGCGAGATCAAGCTCATTTTTGATACGCGATATTCTCGGATCAGAAGCTGCTCTTCAATCGGCAGGGGACAAGTATGGGACCTTTGAACAGACCCTAGGATCGAGTCTAGGTCACGGACAAGTGATGACTGGTACAGGATATGTGGGCTCGAAAGAGTTTGCATATTATCAATCTTCAATTGGTTATCAAGATATGAAAAGAGGTAGGCATGATAATGTTTTACATGATAATATTCTATTTTGATATGTTTAACAATAATAAAAACGTTGATAATATATTCCCATGAAATTAGCAAAAGGGATAATATTGCCTTTCTTAAAATATTATAAAAATGTTCGTTATAAAGGAAATACCGATTTATGCGAAAATAATACGTTAAATAATTGTCATTTCAGATGTAAATAACAATAATAATAATAATATCGAAAATATTTCCTAAGAACGCATATTATTTCAACATTTTTATAAAAACTTAAATGTGAAAATAAATTGAAAATAAAATAAAATAATAGAAATAACATTTGCATTACATTGCTATCATTGATAAGACATATTTCATTAACGAATTTAAAATTAAGAATAATTTTGACCGCTATCTAAATGCTAGGTTTTATGTTACAACTCATTTTACTGTTTAGATAGAGAGATATCAAAATACGGCTAAACTTATGACGCAAAATAGACAGAAAAGTTTCTTTGTATATTTGAAAGTCGATATTTAATTATTTATATAAGTTAACAAATGAAATATGTAATAAACGCGTTTGTCAAACTATTTGTATAATAATTATACATTATATATAAATATAACGTGTGCGTTTGAGTGTGTGCAAAATATTTGGATATTGCATAAAAAAAACTTATATGCTGTTTCACCACATTTCAAATTTGTCTACGGATAAGAAATGCATACTTTTTAAACTTTAAATTTTAAACTTTAAATAGAACGTTAAGACCCTTTTGATAATTCTTTAATACGTTTAAAGGAAAAATTAATCGTTTAAACTATAACTATCTGAATAACAAAAAAATTCGTTTCACTGCAAATTTTAATGTTTTTAATAATGACAAAACAATTATTTCTAAACATTTAGGCCATACTTGATGAACAAATTTTAATTTTGTGAATAGATTTATTACATCAGTTTTGTTTTTTTTAGCGTAATTCATGCTACATAATATAATTAGGTTTTATTTAGATAGGGACAATATGAACACAGACTGTTATAATAATTTTTATAAATTTTGCCAAAGAACCTTTTAAATAAATATCAGAGGAATCCCTACAAGTGTTAAGAATCAAAACAAAGCTTTACAATTATGTGTAATACGTGTTCTGAAATTGATCTCAATTTGTTTTTATATAAATCAAAAGAAATGTTAGTTCTTTTAAAAACAGTATTATGAATATAAACATTAACTAATTAATTGTCCATTATAAATTTGTTTTAAATTTTTCGTAAATGGAAAATTAAAATATTTTATTAAACGTTCCTAATTTACGCGATGTACATACATTTTCACAATTCAATAATTCAATAAATATTGGCATAATCTTTTGCAAATTTATATTATTTGATATGATTTCATCTTGAAATTTTCTTTAAAAGAAGTGCACATTAAAATCAACACTCTTCATGCCTGCAATCATATTTTTCAATACTAATGCAGAAAATGAACCCGGTAATGTTTACATATGATAAAAGTAAGAAGTGTCTGGCCCAAATTCACATTAGGGTCAATATTGTATTTTTAGAAAATATGTTTAACACAAATACACATTTAAAAACAATATATTTAACAGAAATACACATTTGGAACAATATCTTTTCAGTCTACATTTAGAATTATATATTTTTAACATTTTCAACAAACACGCATGTAAAACAATATATTTTCAACTACGCATTTAGAACAATATCTATTCTGCCTACATTTAGAATAATTTTTTTTTTTCAACAAAAACGCATTTAAAACAATACATTCTCAACAAATACGCATTTAGAACAGTATAATTTTCAACAGAAATACACATTCAAAACAGTATATTTTAACACACATACATATTCAGAATAATATAATTTTCAACAAATATGCATTTAGAACAATATAATTTTCAACAGCAAAATATATTTAGATCAATAGATGTTTTGATATTCAAAAGCTTGGCAAAAACACAGGAAAACTGCCACATATTTTTTTTTTCATGATTCTTTGCTGTTATATTTACTTTTTTTTATTTACATAGATATTTTATGAATACAAATATAAGCCATTTACTTAAGAAAAGGCAACAAAAAAGACAAAAAGAGCTCAAGACTCGTTAAAATCAGTGGAACAACACATTTTTCCTTTACTTATTATTATTTTTCATTTAAAGCAATTTTTAATGTTAATACTTCTCATTTTAATTTCAAAATGTATGTTTGGTTTTCTTCTGTAAAGAAATGTTGTAGAACGATATAAATGATACACTCCTTATATATGTAAGTGTAAGACGTTTATATCTGGAAAAAGGATTATCCTCAGTTTATTAGATAAATTTTATTTCAGTTTTTTCATCTTGTTTTAGAAATTCAGTTTAAGCATATCTTGCCATGATTGTTCAATATATGAAGTCATGTATTTACTTACACGGGAATGATGTTCATTATAACATCAACTGTATTGAACTATTTATAAAATCAGCATCTATAATACCAGAACAAATTTGATTGACTGATACATAAAAGCGTAAAGAAAAAAAGACAATAACAACATATATTGAATCTATTTTTTTTCAGTCATACATTATACATTTAGTGTTATAAACCGTTTTATAATGAAGTTTTATGATAAACTTAAGAGTTTTCAGTTTATTATTGGGCACCTTTTTCCGGCTATAATTTATAATTCACCCGGAATGTCCAACTAATATAAATCATGGACATTGACATCATTACAACGCAAGTTTATAAAAAATCATAAAGAAAATAAGAATAGAAAATTACTTGCTTTAAATTGATATATTCTCTACATGTAATAATTTTAGTTAAAAGAAAAAGACATTTGAGTGATCTATCTAAATAGAAGAAATGATCTTATTTAGGGAAATTCGTGTACTATTAATTGCGAAATGAAAATGAATCATTTTTTATAAATTGCCGCGCGGCAAAATGAGAAAACAACTCAAAGAAACATTGCTTACTACATCCAATGCACGTTTCTGTTATATATATAACAAATTTCTATTTAATTGGTCACCAAAAACTGAAAAAGGCACCTCATAGTCTGTTACTTTATTTTTCTTTGGCTTCTAATTGCCATAGATTATGTCCAAGTTCAGATCGTCTAACAGCCACCTGCAGTGCCGTAGAAATTTCAGTTTATCTGCCGCTCTAACGACATAATGAACCTATAAGCGCTTGTTGATTGATATTGTTGAGTCGATTAATTGATCAATTATATCATTACCGCGTGTATATCACATCAGCAATGATCTAAGCGATCCTTGTAATATCTATCAATCGTAATAATCACTTTCCCGTCTGCATGCAATTATCTGGCGGCAAGATGTTTGCACAATGATAAGTACTGGTTTAAAAGACTTACCCTTAAGATATATTTATAAGTTATAAGATATTCTATTGTAAATAAATGCGTGGGAATACTGACCATGGCAATGCTTGTTTCTGGATAATTAGCATGTTCAGAGGAAGGTCAAAGTGCATATTGATTTACAGAATACTTAGATGCAGAAACCCCAAGGCAATGAGGAAATTTACACAACCTATATTTACATTGAGATACAAGTGATCCAAAAATAATTAAATAAGTCCTGTTTCCATAGCATAGTATTTAAGATCAGCATGGCTATCACGTTCATTTTTATTTATTTATTTATTTATTTATTTATTTATTTATTTATTTATTTATTTATTTATTTATTTATTTTTATTTATTTATTTATTTATTTATTTATTTATTTATTTATTTATTTATTTATTTATTTATTTATCTATTATTTATTTATTTTTATTTATCTAATTTACTTAATTATTTGTTTACTTATTTGTTTATTTTTATTTATTTATTTATTTACGAATTCATCAGAATATGAAAAAAATCTACATATATAAAAAGAAAATAAATTTCCGTTTTACCAACTACTCTTGATTTTAACTGTGTATAACAGTGTTTTTCACCAATATATTGCATTATTCATATATATTAATTTTGACTTTATCATATGTATATATAGTACAATCAAGTAGAAACATTAGGTATATTAAATATCACCGATTAAAGGTGAATTCAATTTTTATGCTGATGTTGAGGAAGAGAAAAGAGATAACATTGTTTTAAGTAATAGGATATCTTCACTTCGGTATATTCACATTTAAGCGATTTAAAGAAAAAATATTCGAATGGTTTGATTTTGAAATTAAGTATTTTAAAATGATTAGAATACCGTATTCTCAAAAAAAAAAAAATCAAAACTATTGTAGTATAGCACATTAATGTATGATCATGTAAAATACACTGCATATATGTAAGAGGAATGAAAAATCAATTATTTATTGCGAAAAAATCTGATCTGCTTAATTTTTAAATTTACTAGCAATATAATAATTATTTGATATCATTTACTTAAAACTAATACAGCAATACCTTAGTGTAATGTAGTTCACTGGCTGCCACAAAACCGCTTTATTTAAAGACATTTTCTACAGTTTTATGAAAAAATAATTCTTTCATAGAATTTTCTAAATCTTTTGTATGATGAGTAAAATTTAATGACGAATTGTTGTAATAAAAATTTCTTTTTCTGTTGATGTTATATTAAGTTAATGATACTGAATATCTTTTTAAAACATATCTTGGGCCATTTTTTCACTCGACTAACATACCCGAACAGTAAGCAAGTATTCAGAAATTTACAAAGAAAATAATGAAAATCGGAACATTTCTTAGCTATTAATTTTGTTTTTTTATTCAACACTTTTAAAATATATCATTTTAAACTTCTTTGCCCAGTTGTCTGCCAGTAATCAAGTCGCGACGCACTTTCGTCACTATACCACAAGTGGGTGGGGTAACGCTCGCAGAATTATCACCAATGCTGTCGTACTAATGCTTGGAGAAATTCTTTATGTGATGTTGTCTAAACGACCTCATATTCTTTTGAACCGATCTCCTTTTGAACATTTAGAAATATCTATTCTGTATTATTTACTCATTATTTGCTTATAGCCGAAATTTAAACACTTATCCGAGTACTATTCAACTTGACCTTCATTTGAAGAGTAATTTTCCGTGATTATCTTTCTTGGAAGCGCATAACGATGCGCACAGAAAACTACCGGAAACGTCTTTAATTAAGCGGAATCGATATTTATGAGTTCCCTTCAAACCGGAAATATGTCAACAATTTGATAGATTTCGGATGACAAAAATCCCATAATATACATTTAAAACATTATAAACAACGACAACAAAAAACATTTATTTATTTAACAACTTTTTACTGCAGGATATTCAGTGGATAACATTCTGGAAAGCAGTAGTTCTAAAGATGGCGGAATTGCTATTCCCATTCCACTTCCGGTCTATATTAGGACGCGTTCACCACAAGGTTCTGACAGTTTTGGGAAACCGAAAAAATGTCGCAGAAGTCGCACCGTATTTACTGATTTACAACTTATGGCTCTAGAAAAAAGGTTTGAGACACAGAAATACCTCTCCACCCCTGACCGCTTAGAGGTAGCAGAAGGCTTGGGGCTAACCCAACTTCAAGTGAAGACTTGGTACCAGAACAGGAGAATGAAGTGGAAAAAACAAGTACGAATGCAATATAATTTATTCAATCAGTTCTTTATTTTAAAAAGAAACCATTTTAAGAACATGCAATTTGTTAAATACATGTATATAATAAGAGTAAGAAGTATTTAGGCAAATAAATCGAAAGTGTGTCTATAAGCTTATAGCTTCCTACACAATCGAACTAAAATAAATTATGGATAAACCAAATGAAGAATAGTGTATCTTCACCGGATTTACTTAGTCTTATGTGACGTCAGAACGGAAATATGATACAACACTGACAGCCTCAACCGTGCGGTTACCACAATAGGTAGAGCGCTTGACTGTGAATTAGGCAACGCGGACGCTGCAGGTCACTTTCGTTGTTATTTTTTATGAAATCTTTTTTACGGTCATTCGAACTTTACCCCTGCTCTGGAATATACAGGGATTTTTAGTTCATTGCGAAAAGAAAAGCATTAGTACTAGTAAATTGCTTGACAGGAACGATGCGGTGACTGAACCGTGATCTTCTGAATTCAAAGTGGCTTTCTTTCGTGATCCCTAAGGTTGATCTTCTGAATTCAAAGTGGTTTTCTGTCGTGATTCCTAGGGTACACTACCCACACCACCACAACTATTAAGGGTTTTATAACTAAAGTAACCGATCAGTCAGCCCTTCGGTCCGTTTAATGTTTTAGGTCAATATAGTTATATGATGCCCTCACCGATAGTATGATATATCACTAGACTTATGTTGAGGTCGGTATAGGACATGAGAAAAGTTAAAGCTTTATTAGCCAAATACGATAGACTGAGGTCGATATAAATTTTATCTAACCCCTAATTTAACGTCATAATTTAAAGATTATTACTTATCTATTAAAATAAGACAGAAAAGTAATGACAATATAATTCTTTTTTCTTAGAAGCGCTATTGTCTTTTATAAATTTATAAAATCATCATTTGACAGTTGATAACATTCTAGCAAGCAGTAGTTCTAAAGATGGCGGAATTGCTATTTATTATAAAGAATGTTGACGGGTGAAATGGTCGTGTATAAACTTTTTTTTTTTTGCTGTGCACAATGTAACATATGTCATGCAGCTCGAGTTGTTTTTAAGCTTTCATCCTTTGTTACTGAATCGTTTTGAATGATTATATAACCGATGATAAAATTATTAGTTATATAACCTTTCATTTTTATTTTTATTGTAAATCACAAAAAAACTTGAAATAAACATGATTTAGCTTCATATGGACAGAATTATCTTTTGCAAATAAATGACATATTCATTGTCCTTAAAACAAATCAATTATATTGTAGTAGCAGAGAAACTTTTTTTACTTTTGCAAGAATCTATATTCACAAGGGAATATAATTGTTATGATTTCCTATATAACAATTTGACAAGCCGATATCTTTTAAATTATAGCATCTATGTTCTCTTTCTATCAGTCTCAATACATGTATATCTATTTCAATATCTATAAATCACACCTACAGCACTAAGAAGTTTGATATATATTTATGAATGGATTGGGTCATTTCTTTCTAACTGCAGGTTTTACAAGACGGATGTACAGAATCGCCGACCAAACCAAAAGGTCGACCAAGAAAAGAGACATCAGCCATCGAAAACAATGCACAAGACCCTACTAATGTTGGTGAAACATGTGTAGACGTTGAACAATTAAATGACAATGAAAGTGATGATGATGACGACGATAAAATAGTTAATGATAATAACAGTGGAAATTATGTTAATAAAAGCCGAGAATATTTGAGGCATTATCCGTTCAATGTGTGCTCCTCCTCGTCATCTTTAACATAATGTTAACTGTGTGAACAATTCAATATTCATGAATATAAATGGAATAACTTTTCGTATCTAAAATGTGTTATTTGCAAATTTCCGACTTTTGAAGTCTACGTTTTAATGTATACACGAATTACGTTGCCATGTTTTCTTTAGCCTTTGAACTTATCTTTTAATACTGACTTTAAAATCGATGGAATTAGTAAGTATTAGAGATGAAGATAACAAATAGATGGAGATAAGCAGCTCCTATATATTCCATTGTAATATCACTAATGCCTATAAAAGTGCAAAAAGTAGACATTTTGTTGCAAATAAAACTTAATGGATGTATATTTAATCCTTTTATATTATACACCATTTGAAAGTGAAATCTTTTATCTATTGCTGCATGGTGAAATATTGGTAACTTTCCATACCACTCACATGGAAAAACATAGCAGAACATACCCACTGAGCCAGTTTTTTTCGTCATATGTAGTTCTCTACCATTTATTTAAATGGGAACTGCAGATGTTTTTAGAAATTTGCAAATTTGCATAAAACACATTCTTTTCTTTTTAGATTTGTACATGTAGTTAGATATATTTGTCTCATTCAATTTAGAGAAATAAATATATGCAAGTATACAAAAACCCTTTTTCATCTAACTTATTCAAGAAATGTATTAGAATGAGTTACTCGCAAATCTGACAACAAAGACAATATAGTATACCTGAAGATGGCTCTTAAAAACAGTTTTAAATGAATTTTAATAAATCGTGTACAAATAAAATAACCAGAATATGATACAAATGCATATTGTTATCAATTCTAACACGACCCACATTTTCAATATTGAATATAGAAGGACCGAAAGTGTGTGTTATTATGCAATAAAGTCACAGTTGACGTTCAATATTTAGATCTACGTGACGTAATCATTATACATGTGACTATAACTCTAAAAGAGTCTGACGCGCTGAAAATAAGTACGGAATCAAATCAAGCGCAATTTTGCTTTAATATCAGGTACGGTAGCATTTATTAGTTGTCGTGTTAGAATCGAAATAATATATCCAAATCGGTGATTTTATCGCTTGATAACATCACTGTTTGTCGTTCGGATGCGCATCATTTTATTTTATATAATTTGTCGTATTCGAACTCCAAACAGTGATGATATTGAGCGATAAAATCACTGTTTGGGATGTATAATTTCTTAAAAAATTACATGATTATATGAATATGAATTTAGTATGTCTCCTGTTTTGTAAGAAGTCTGTTTAAAGCAATAACGTGCAAAATCGCCTTTAAAAGAGTTGATCCTATCCTAACTATATAGCTTTGTATTTATTAAACATTTTTGCCTGGATCTAAAATATTGGAACTAATCTTCTAATACATGCGTTTGTTTCTAAAGGAGAACGATTTTCCAGTAAAATGATTGTATCTTGATACGGAGGTTTTGATTCCTGCTATCAATTAGAGCTGACAGTGTGCCTGTCGAAACAATTAACGTAAACACATAATGGCTGACAGCAGTGCTTTGTTGGTAAATATACAATGACAGCTTCTGTAATCGGCAATTAGTGTTTAATGAGAGTTAAGGACTCACAAGACTTCTAGATAAATATCTAAGTTTCTTCCCTTCCATGTCATATTTAATCCGACCTACAAATGTATACGGATAAAATAATATATAGATATGCTAGTTAAACTTTAAAAATTATATTTTGGTAATATATATGTCATAATCATATGTTTTATATATACCATTTCACATTCAGGTTATATCTTTTTTATTTTATGTAAATCTATTTTTCAGCTAGATTCTTGTCAATTATTTAGTCCGATTTTAAATAAATCATGATCCAACATTATTTTAAACGTAAACGATTCATCAAGATACCTATAATCGAAATGATTTAATTGAAAAGGGCTATGCTAGATGTCATAGTAAGGAAGGTTATGACAAGCATGTTATTTGAGTGATGTCGAAATATCTTTAAACCTTATCGATCTTTTTCTTAGCACAAACATACCGATGGCTGAACGCAACACTGGTCTAACTTTTTTTTTTCAAAAATGACTTTTTGCATTTTTTAGCCGTATTGCATGAAATACATCAGTAAATAAAATATTAGAAATAATTGTGAACTTTTACGGGTTTTATTTACCACTTGGCATTTTGCTCTATCTCAAATGTGAGTATAACTTAAATGCAACTCAAGTTAGAACTGTGTTGCATTAATCAAAATTTTCTTATTGGATGATAACACTTACAAACTCCTGAGTTAGCAGAGTGTTGCTGTTAAATTGCAATAAATTAAAAATCATTATTGTTAATATTTGCGGATATTAAGTCAGGTCTGGCACTTCATAAATAGTTATTTATACATTTTACTTATTTTTGTTGCCAAAATTGCAGAATTTGTAAATCCAGGGCTCTTAATTAAATCTATTTTGTTTTCAAAAAAAACATTTATAAGTTTAAAATTGCTATACATTGTATTATAATCATATAAGATTGAAATAAAAAATAATAATAAATTAACCTTTCAAAAAGATTTATTATATTATTTCATTCACTGTTGATGAAAATTATTTACAAGACAATTTTTTTTAAATCATAGTGATGTAACAAGATCTCCCACCCTCCCATCCTATGTACAATTTAATTGAAGTTTGGACAAATCACTTTCATAAAAGTTTTCTCCAGAATAATTATGTGAACTATAAAATGACTGGATATTGAAAAGTATATTAATGTAGCTTTAAATTCAAATTAGATACTAATAGCATACATGTGAACTCTCCAAATTTTAGCGGGAGACTCTCACTTTCTGCAGCCATATTTTCAAAGAAATTTCATAAAACAAAGGGTATTTTCACAAATTAAAGAAATCTCTCTATTTTTGATGACAGAACTTCATTCTTTGTTTATTGCAAATTCTAAAATCTCCCTCTTATTGAAGAAAAATCTCCCACTTCATCATCAAATAAAGTTCACATGTATGTAATTGATTTATTGATTGATTGATTTATTTGTGTATATATATATATGTCATATTACAAAACAAATTAAGACAATTTATCACAGTTATATCAGTCACATCGTTTATAACACAGTAATTAATTGAAATATAATAACTTTACATTCATAATTAAATCAAAGATCTTGTTGACTTCAAGACAATATATACAACACAGGATAACCCATGAAAGTTCAATATAAAATAGAGAACTTATTTCCAATGGGGTCCTTTGATGGTAAAGAATATATTTTCTTGAGAACTGGCATTCAGGTCCATACTTAGAGATGATATACTTGACTGATGTTAAATTTCTAAGATCATATTAATTTCTATTGCACATTATGTTAATTACATATATCACATTAATAGAACCATGATAAAATTTTCACTTTCATGTTCAGTATATTTTTTTAATAACAAAAATGTCCAATTTATAGAATTAATGAAGTTTTTATAGCTACCTTGAAATTTGGTAAAAATCAAGTTAGACCAGTGTTGCGTTCAGCCATCGATACATACATTTTAGTACAGGGCTTTACTCAGATTTCTTATCTCATATGTGTGATTTCCAGCTATCTGATCGCATATATGTAATTTCCAGCTATCTGAGGGCATAGATACTAGAGGATTGTTAGGTCATGTTAGGATTAAGTTAATCAAAAATAGTCAATAAAAATACTTATTTCGTAAATACTTATGTTGACCTAAATAGAGTTGTTTTTCTTGTAATACAGTATTGCTTGCTCGTAAGTTTTTAGACAATTCTTAGAGCATTTTTGCCGTGTAATTATTATAAGTAATGGCGACAAATCATGTCCGATTTAATTATCTAAATGCATCATACACGTCACATCTTTTTACAATCTTTCTTAGAAACTAGTTAATGACTAGAATGATATTTGTAATTCTCACTAGGTATTAGTTTAGTTTAGATAAAACTACTAACAAGTTAGTTTAATTTGTTATTAAATATCAATGACTTTTTGAATACACAATCCGGAGCTAACCAGTACACATATCATTCTATTAGTCGTGACACGAGTATGACTCCGACTGATTAAATTACAGTAATTTTGATTTTTGACCCTAATAAACTTGTATTTTACATTAAATGCTTAAAATATAACCAAACTAGTAAGAAATGCGGATAAGTTATCACTTTAATCATGAGTAAGCATTTAAACTTGGTAGCGAAAAACTCTCTTTTTTAGAGAATGGTATAAGAAGCATGTCTAATATTTGATAAAGTTATAAGCGTGCAAAACTTTGCTCAGCTTAGCTTATCTAAAACATAAGACATATGGGTTCAAAGAGACATATTTGTTTTGCCAATCCGAAAATATAGATTCAACCAAACAAAATGAATTAATGTCTAGGCTTTTAAGTTTGTCCTTTTACGCCATGCTTCATAATCCCTGATCTCCTTTCAAAATCCTATTCTATTTAGTTTCGCACATTGTTTTCGTGTTTAGCGCATACACACTTTTTACTTAGGCGAATATTTTCAAATACAAAATTTAGCCAGTTCATGTGAAATGTTGGATTCTGCTTACGCCGGTGCTAGAGGGCGTAGATCGTAGCTTGCACTTTCCCGTACCGTCAATCAAACCGAGCCGGCAACATTTTCTATTTTGGTGTTTTGGACATTCTTTAGGGATTATAATTCTCTCTATTTGTCCAAAACCTGACAAATTTCAAAAACTTTTCAAACTTTCTTCCTCTTTTTCTTGAAATTAAGGAGTGTTTATTTCAGTTTTTATTTTTGTTCTTTCTCTTCTTGTTTTCTTCTTGTTTTCTTCTAAAAAAAAATAAGAAGACCTTGGACAACACGACAGTGTTGAAAATAAGAATTCTGCACTATAAGACATATTTAAACTTCCAGCTGCTTAAAAAAAGGTATTTATTTTCATTTAGCTGTATGTAGTAAGTGCAACAGAGGACACATAGAAATGACGTGCGGCTGGAGACAAATCCCTACAATTATTATTAGACGCCGCGTGCACGCGTCGTCTAGTAGATATGTATTTGTCCATATAGCAATGGGGAAAAATTTAGACTTTACTTTGTGTGTTGTTTTTTTTTTAATAAAATCACACTTTTTTCAGCATATCACAGAGCTTTAAGGGGTTAAAAAATCGTTTGACTGAAATGACAGTGCTATGTCTGAATATCATTTTGTTTTTTTTCTCATTATCTTATTTTATCTACCTAATAAATTATAATAACGTGCCAATGAGCAGATCGTTCTAAAACTTAACGGTTGAGAGAGGTAACGACTAAGGCAGTGTCACTCACTTCATTTGCTCCGCTTCTGTTGAAGTTCGGCTCCGCCTAAAATTGTCGCCAAATTTAATTTCATGCCCCATATGCTAGCATTTAGTCTTCGTTGACTAGGGGAGGGAACCAGGACAACTATGATCAATATCACTCGACGAATCATTAAATTACAAAGTCTAAACCACGCCCTCTATCAGAGAGGCGGTTCTCCCTCAACCGTTTAGAAAGAACGCTTAGCTCAACACAGACCCGTCTATGGTCTAATGACGGGAACCAAATTCGGACAAGGAACAAGGGGTGTGACGAAAATACGCAACGGAGATATTTTTTTTGCGCTACGGGCGCAGCGGATTTTTTTTTTTTTGCAAAACAGGCAAAACATGTGATTCGTGAAAATAATTAACATTTAAGTTAGAAAACAAATTGTCTGAGTGAAAAAGTACGTTTATTTTAAAACGTATCACAAATATTTGCAATAGGTTATTTTGAAGGATTCTGTGACTGATGATTGTTCTCTTTTGCCTAAATTTTATATATCATTTAGTGGTTCTAGATTCCAGGCGAATATGCAAGCTTGTGTTTAATCAAATAGTTTAATCTTTTATATATAAGTAAACAATACGTTATTAAGAATTGACTATATTTAACAATTTATTCATAACCATTACTTGATATTACAGACATATTTTTGCTATTTATAAAATAACAGAACAGTTCGTCCTCAAAATCATTCGAACGTTATGCAATTCGCACCAATATTTAAATGGATATATTCTCGGCACATATTGTCTTGAATTTATTTCAAGTATACCAATCATTTCAATTTACTTGTTATCCAATTTATTTTGCTTCGACCAGACGTTTCAATCTTTGTCGCAACAGACATACATTTCAGAATTTCAGACATGTCGTTACTTTGTGACTTTATGCATTAGGTTTTACTTTTTCACAAAAATATGCAACTTGATTATTAAACAACGAGCACATACCAAGAACATGGAGAAAAAAATTGATTAGTGCTTCGGATATTCAACTGTAATAGAAAACGATTTTCAATGCTGATTTTGTACATTACCTGTGACTGTTCACATTTGGCGGCAACTTTGACGTGCAGCATCAACATTTAATTTGTTATCAACTAAAGTGTAGCTGAGGAAAAGTCTCTCATTTTTGTAATGAACGAAAACACAAGAAACAATTAGTTGTGAGATAATGTCTGTGTTTGAAATGTTTTAGATAATACTTAAAATGAAGTATTCAAGTGAACGTCTTGATTAGCACGTAAATTCAAAGTATAGTATCGAACAATAAATAACATAAAATTGCTATTATCATTGAAAATATTGTAACACATTTTGTCATATGTAAGATTTTTAGACCAAAGCTTAAAAGTAACAGATATTTACGATTGTTTTACTTTTAGAAAATCGTAAAGCTATCTGTCAATTTTACTGTCAAATAAAAGATACCTTTGAGAATGTATATTGCTTTTAAAAATTATCTTGTATCCCAACAATCATACATAGTAAAATACTTTCAGGTTTCATTCGAGAACAATCGAGATAGATTAAAGAATTAAGCGACAACAATAACGTACTATGTTGTTTTAAGTATGTTCGAATCTTCCAGGATAAGATGGGCTAGACAAATGGATTTTTATACTCACGAAAGAATTAAACATTAACCCAAAGAATATGTCTGGCAAAATCTTGGCATTTTTGGTTTCAATGGTAGAATCTATTTAATATTTTAACATATGAACATATAATCATTTAAAAGAATAAAAGATTAATACACGGCCGGTAGGGCCGGAAGGTGATAATCAGCCCGCAAAATTAATAATGACCCCGAGGGCATTATTCATTTCAGGGCCGATTATCACCTTCTGGCACAACTAAGACGTGTATTAATGTCTTTAATACACTTGGTAGATCTAATAGTAGCATTTTTCTAAAAAATATACTTTGAAATGTCTTTCGTTGAAATTCCTGTCTGCATTTCTACTGCAGTAACTTCTATAGAGTTGTTTACTTTTCGTCTGTTCAAGGTACACTACTGTAGAATCTAGACGCACGTTTTATTTTCATTAGATCTATTTTCGGAATTAATTTCTCGTATTATTTCTTTAAATTTCAATAGTAATTAAACTGTGTGTGTACGAAATACGCTTCAGCTCTCATAATAATATCAAGCGATTCATGCTTAAAACCTACTTTCATTTTTTACAATTAACCGTTTGATGACGTAAATTTTGACGTCATTATATCAGTTTGTGCATGTGCAGTCTTGTTCAGCGGGCCAGCGGGCTGATAACTAGTTCTTGGCCCGGGTCGCAATCTCATAATAGGTCACGTGACACTAATAATCAGTTGAAATCATAAGCGATTTTGTTACTATATATAGTAACAACAAGTGTGTTAATTACCTTAAAAAGATTGGTGACTACCGAGATATTTTTTCAATAGCCCTATGATTTAAATACGTATAAATCTCGATAAATTTTCATTATATTTCTGATCCTTAAAGATCGTTCAGCACGAAATTATTGTTTTGCTTGTGGTACTTTTTAGCTCTATGTTTTCGGACCTTTTTAAAGTTGGGTGGTTCCAGTATTCCCCACTTGAATACAGTTTAATCACCCTTAGGATATGCATCGTCGGATACCCACGATTGATAAACATGTCACATAATGATGAATGATAATGGTTCGGCCGTGGGTATCCGACGATGAGGATATGTGGCCTCTTTTTAAATTTGTCTTTTGACAGCATATCAGTGATATGCAGGCTTAATCACTTCAGACCCCCTTTCAAAATTCCATCTTATTTAGTTCTGGTTAGGGCACACGCATTCCATTAATTGGGGACCATACGCCACTTTCCATGGAATGGCATTAACGTGTCACACTGAATATTCCATGATAACCTCCGCATGTACAAATCTGCGGATGTTTCTAAATTCAAAATTTCACCATTACCATAATTAAATGTTGAATTCTGCTTAAGCCGGTGCTAGGGGGCGTGGACGGTAACTTCAACTTTCCATTACCGTTCATGAACAGCTCACTCAAACCGAGCCTGCAACATTTTGTCGTTTTGGGCGTTCTTATGGGATTCTTTATTTCTCTCTATTATTTCAAAATGTTGTGTTTTAAAGGAAAATCCAAGATCAGGTAGGTTAGATCAAAAAGCTTAAAAAGAATAAGCTTCTGCACAATCGATATCATAGGACCAAAAGAAACCAAGAACAATTTTATCAACAAAATATAATTTTCAAGTGTACAGTTATTACAATTACCAGCTATAAATCGATGCAAAACCCTGCAAAAAATAAAGGTATAGTCAGCATATCATATCATCAATAATCAATTCAGTCACGAAGTGAATCTGAATTTATACTTTCTTAATAAGCTTTAATTGGTCTCGTTTTTTGGACATGCCATTGAAGGTTTAACCCGTATGAGCATTTTTTGTAAATTTTGAATAAATGTCTTATAACCATGTAAATGTTTCCTTTATTCTTTCATCTTGTTGATTTTAAAAGTGAACAAACAGTTAATAATCAATGAGAAACAAATTAGGACAATGAGAAGAGTAGAAATTACATACATATTATTTTTCTAAGGCGATGCTGTCTGTGAAGGGACAATACTGAAATGGTGAACGAGTTCTTGGAACCTGTAAGAAAACGAAAGAATTATACTAGACGACATTTTTAGGTCTCAAGTTAAACCGCTATAAAGTTTCAACTTTGCTTACAGGGGGACAATAATTAATGTGTGTTTGCATACGCCCCTTAAGCGATTGTGTTGAGCTTATGTAAATTGTACATACTTTACACCATCCACATTTCACTTTCTGCGTATCAATTGGATTGACACAGAAGATGTCAATAAACTTATTGTAAAAACGACATCATTTTCAGGATGAATTATGATTCCACTGTATATTGTTGGTAAGGTAGGGTAAATATCACAGCGATCGCAAAAACTAAATGGAATTGTAATATCTGTCATATGTTACGGTTCGGATCAGAATATCAGTCCCGACGGTACTCCGTTTATTGGACGGTTACGAGGCTTGCCGAGATGAATTCCCATGATTCATGATGGTACGTTTCATCAGACAATATACAAAATAACATGAAGTGAGTCCAAATATATATTTTTGGGCGTCCGTGACCGAGTGGTTGAAGTCGTTGACTTCAAACCACTTGCTGTAGGTTCGAAATGAATCAGGAACATTGTATTCGTTTTTTCTTCATGTAAGGACTATCCAGTTAGCTTACGGAACGCTGGTGGCTATGCGGGTGTTCGCTAGTATCTGGAACAATGCACGGAGGCACACATGCGGTTATCCTCTTCTAGTTTAACAGAAAAGTCGTCATACGGTATGTTCTCTACTGTGTCGGTCCGAGGTAAAACTCAGTCAAATACAAAAATTAACATTTGTATGTAAAACGAAGATTACGAGAAATAATCCAACAGTTGAAGATAAAAAAAGAAAATGAAAGTTTATATGCCATTATAACGGCAAGTGTAAATCTTATGGTATGTTTCTACTTACGAATGGCATATCAACGGTACTGAATGATCAAGAAGTCCTGACAGATATTTGTGTCCGGCCTGTTCACACGCTTGTTCTGTTGGATCACTTCCTACAACATCAATCATCAGCTGTAAATCTTTCTTGATTGTGTCTAGGTTTACAAGGTTCGCTGTAATGATAAAAAAAAATGTTTATTGCTTTTCTTCCGCTCTTTACGCATGTGTTCTAAGTATAATTCAAATAATGCTCTTTGAAAATCAATCTCGTTTTGAATGATCAAAGCGTTTCTTCGACGTAAAATATCTGATTACTCATTTTTAGGCATATTGCTTTCATATTCGCCAAATTAGGTTAAAGCCTTCATCCTTGTGGTTAATTATTTAGCTCGGCAATATGCTTTCCAATTTCCAAATACTATTAAATACAGTCCAATAAATAAATGTCTTCATAACTTATTAAGTAAGTGACACATCGCATAAAAAGAGGAAGATGATTATTCCCTCTAACAAGTCATGATAAGATGCTGCATTGAACTATTCTCAGAGTGAGTTCTGCGTGGTACATTATTTTCTTTTGCACTTAATTCACAAAGTCGATATCGAAGTATATATAAAACGGACAAAAAATGCCATTTTATGACATTTTAAGTATCTGTAACGTACACAGTGTATTCAACAAATATCGTTTCCCTGCAGCTGAAGCTGTTGTTGTTTGTGCAGGTACAATGCTAAAATGATGGACGAGCTCCTGGAATCTGAATGTATAAACATATGACTAATTAAAATTATTGCAAGATGAATTCCAATGATACATGGTGGTACGTTTCATTAGACATTATACAACATAGCATGGACGATAACAAACGCGTTTTAGTTTTGCAAAGCAAATGTATGTTTTGGGCGTCCGTGACCGAGTGGTTAAAGTCATTGACTTCAAACCACTTGCTGAAGGTTCGAATCCCATCACAACCTTTACATTCGTGCTTTGTTATGTGAGGACTATCCAGTTAGCTTTCGGAACGTCGGTGGGTAGTTGGGTGCTTGCTTGTGACTGAAACAATGCACGGGGGACAACCGAGGTTATCCTCTTCTAGTTAAACAGGAAATATGTCATACGGTGTACCTTCTGCTGTGTCGGTCCAAGTTAAAACTAAGGCGATTAAAAGAAATAAACAATTGTATGTTAAACGAAGATTACGTGGAATAATCCAACAGTTGAAGATACAAAAAAAATAAAGTTTATATGCCGTTATTACGGCAAATGTAGGGTTAAACTCTTCTGCGACAAGGGATTAGCCAGCCTGGTTTTTATGGCGATGTGGTTTACAAACTTCGTAAGATTTTGGGTCATGGTAATTTTTCTGCTGTTTTTACTAAAATCATTAAACGTTTTATTAAAAGAGGTTATGACCCTACTATTTTAAGACATACTGCATGTTTAGTGTTCAACCCTTTTACAGTTGGACACTACACTTTCTCTTTTGATTGCATCTGACGGACCAAGTGGGAGACTCTATGATGGATAGTTCGTAAAGCCCTTTGGACTGAATTGTCTTAATGTTCGTCTTCTGCCTTGCTTCGTCGGGCCCTTGTAGGTGATTTTCTTGTTGCTCTGTCTTCCTTTAGGACATTGAGTACTTTTGTTATGGTCATTGGGTTTACTTTTATATGTTTCTACATGATCATTTTAGTGTTTTACTTATTTAACCTTTTGTAACCATGACACACTGTTAGAATTTCACTTGGCGGGATTCATTTTATTTACACTGTCTCGTTTATAGGAACATGGTGGGGCTAAGAGCGAGGTTTGGTGCACCATTAACCGGTTTAAACTCCCCAGCAGTCATTATTATGCTGCTGACCGTTCCAAGGCGGCGCCCCACTGTGTTCCTCAGATGTATGTCTATGTTGTTTCATACTGTTTTTTGGTGACACTTTTGCTTGTGTCCCTTGTTGTTTTCTTCGTCTACGGTAAGTATCTTCCCCATTGCTCTAGTTTTTATTTCTTTGATTAAACCCCCCCCCCCCTTCCCCCGGTCTTCTGTCCCCTTCCCCTTTGTGGGCCTATTATTATTTTCTTTGAATTCCTAATCAGTTACAAATTATTTATCATTTAATGATTAACGGGTCGTTGCCCTGTCCTTTTTATGTTTGGGGTCCGCCTGGGCTCCTTGCCGTTGGTTCTTGTTGCTGGGTCATATGGGGGTTGCGTTCATTGAACGCCGCCTTTCCTTGTTGATCTTGTTTATCATATTTTTTGACTTACGAATGGCATATCAACGGTACTGAGTGATCAAGAAGTCCTGACAGATATTTGTGTCCGGCCTGTTCACACGCTTGTTCTGTTGGATCACTTCCTACAACATCAATCATCAGCTGTAAATCTTTCTTGATTGTGTCTAGGTTTACAAGGTTCGCTGTAATGATAAAAAAAAATGTTTATTGCTTTTCTTCCGCTCTTTACGCATGTGTTTCTAAGTATAATTCAAATAATGCTCTTTGAAAATCAATCTCGTTTTGAATGAATCAAAGCGTTTTCTTCGACGTAAAATATCTGATTACTCATTTTTTAGGCATATTGCTTTCACATTGGCCAAATAAGGTTAAAGCCTTTATTCTTGTGGTAAATTATTTAGCTCAATAATATGCTTTTCGATTTGCAAATACTACTTCTTACAGTCCAATAAATAAATGTCTTCATATCTAATTAAGTAAGTGACACATCGCATAAAAAGAGGAAGATGAAAATTCACTCTAATAAGTCATTATAAGATATTGTATTGAACTATTTACAGAGTGAGTACTGCCTGGAAAAATTATTTTCTTTTGCACTTAATTCAGAAAGTCGATATCAAAGTATATATAAAACAGACAAAAATTGCAATTTTATGAGATTTTAAGTATCTTTTACGTACAGAGTGTATCCAACAAATATCGTTTCCCTGCGGCTGATGCTGTTGTTGTTTGTGCAGGTACAATGTGAAAATGATGGACAAGCTCCTGGAATCTGAATGTATAATATAGATAAATACAGAATTCCTAAAGAAAGCCCAACACGGTAAAATTGAAAATGTTGCAGGCTCGGTTTGATTGAGCCTGTTCATGGACGGTACTGGAAAGTGCAAGTTATCGTCCACGCCCCCTAGCACCGGCTTAAGCAGAATTCAACATTTAAACATGAAATAGTAAGATTTTGAATTTAGAAACATCCGCAGATGTATAAACCTATGATTAATTAAACTTAATACAAGATGAATTTCAATGATGCATGGCGGTACGTTTCATTAGACATTAGACAACATAGAATAGACGATAACAAATGCGTGATAGTTTTGCAAAGCAAATATATGTTTTTGGGCGTCCGTAACCGAGTGGTTGCAGTCATTGACTTCAAACCACTTTATATAGCTTCGAATCCCATGACGAACTTTGGATTCGTGCTTTTGTTTTGTGAGAGACTATCCAGTTAGCTTACGGAACGTCGGTGGCAACTTGGGTGCTTGCTTGTGACTGAAACAATGCACGGGGGACAACCGAGGTTATCCTCTTCTAGCTAAAACAGGAAAGATGTCATACGGTGTCCCTTCTACTGTGTCGGTCCAATGTACAACTCAGGCGATTAAAAAAAACAATTGTATATAAAACGAAGATAACGTGGAATAATCCAACAGTTGAAAATACAAAAAAAAGAAAGTTTATATGCCATAATTACGGCAAATGTAAGGTTTGACTTACGAATGACATATCAACGGTACTGAGTGATCAAGAAGTCCTGACAGATATTTGTGTCCGGCCTGTTCACACGCCTGTTCTGTTGGATCACTTCCAACAACATCAATCATCAGCTGTAAATCTTTCTTGATTGTGTCTAGGTTTACAAGGTTCGCTGTAATGATAAAATTTGTTTTTAGTGCTTTTTACGCTCTTTTCGCATGTGTTCTAAGTATATCTTTGAATTTAAATTCAAATATTGCTTTTTGAAAATAAATCACGATTTGAATGATTTAAGCGTTTCTTCGACGTAAAACATCTTATTACTCATTTTTAGGCATATTGCTTTCACATTCGCCAAATTAGGTTAAAGCCTTTATCCTTGTGGTTAATTATTTAGCTCGGCAATATGCTTTTCAATTTCCAAAAACTATTTAATAAAGTCCATTATATAAATGTCCTCAAAACTTATCATGTAAGTGACACATCGCATAAAAAGAGGAAGATGATTATTCAATCTAATAAGTCATGATAAGATGCTGCATTCAACTATTTACAGAGTGACTTCTGCCTGGAAAATTATTTTCTTTTACACTCAATTCACAAACTCGCTATCAAAGTATATATAAAACGGACAAATTGCAATTTAACGAGATTTTAAGTATCTTTTACGTACACAGTGTATCCAACAAATATCGTTTCCCTGCGGCGGCTGATGCTGTTGTTGTTTGTGCAGGTACAATGTGAAAATGATGGACAAGCTCCTGGAATCTGAATGTATAAACCTATGATTAATTAAACTTAATACAAGATGAATTACAATAATGCATGGTGGTACGTTTCATTAGACATTAGACAACATAGCATAGACGATAACAAATGCGTTTTAGTTTTGCAAAGCAAATATGTTTTTGGGCGTCCGTGACCGAGTGATTGACTTCAAACCACTTGATGTAGGTTCGAATCCCATCACGAACTTTGGATTCGTGCTTTTGTCATTTGAGGACTATCCAGTAAGCTTACGGAACGTCGGTGGCTAGTTGGGTGCTTGCTTGTGACTGAAACAATGCACGGGGGACAACCGAGGTTATCCTCTTCTAGTTAAACAGGAAAATTGTCATACGGTATGCCTTCTACTGTGTCTGTCCAAGGTACACTTCAGGCGATTAAAAAAATAAACAATTGTGTGTAAAACGAAGATTACGTGGAATAATCCAACAGTTGAAAATATAAAAAAAGTGAAAGTGTATATCATTTTATAACGGCAAATGTAAGTTTTGACTTACGAATGGCATATCAACGGTACTGAGTGATCAAGAAGTCCTGACAGATATTTGTGTCCGGCCTGTTCACACGCTTGTTCTGTTGGATCACTTCCAACAACATCAATCATCAGCTGTAAATCTTGCTTGATTGTGTTCAGGTTTACAAGGTTCACTGTAATGATAAAAAATGTTTTTAGTGCTTTTCTTGTGCTCTTTGTGCATGTGATCTAAGTATATCTTTGAATTTAAATTCAAATATTTCTCTTTGAAAATAAATCTCGATTTGAATGATAAAAGCGTTACTTCGACGTACAACATCTTATTACTCATTTTAGGCATATTGCTTTCACATTTGCCAAATTAGGTTAAAACCTTTATCCATGTGGTTAATTATTTAGCTCTGCAATATGCTTTTCGTTTTCCAAATACTATTTAATAAAGTCCATTATATAAATGTCCTCAAAACTTATCATGTAAGTGACACATTGCATAAAAAGAGGAAGATGATTATTCAATCTAATAAGTCATGATAAGATGCTGCATTCAACTATTAACAGAGTGACTTCTGCCTTGAAAATTATTTTCTTTTACACTCTATTCACAAACTCGCTATCAAAGTATATATAAAACGGACAAATTGCAATTTAACGAGATTTTAAGTATCTTTTACGTACACAGTGTATCCAACAAATATCGTTTCCCTGCGGCTGATGCTGTTGTTGTTTGTACAGGTACAATGTGAAAATGATGGACAAGCTCCTGGAATCTGAATGTATAAACCTATGATTAATTAAACTTAATACAAGATGAATTACAATAATGCATGGTGGTACGTTTCATTAGACATTAGACAACATAGCATAGACGATAACAAATGCGTTTTAGTTTTGCAAAGCAAATATGTTTTTGGGCGTCCGTGACCGAGTGATTGACTTCAAACCACATGATGTAGGTTCGAATCGCATGACGAACTTTGGATTCGTGCTTTTGTTATGTGAGGGACTATCCAGTTAGCTTTCGGAACGCCGGTGGCTAGTTGGGTGCTTGCTTGTTACTGAAACAATGCACGGGGGACAACCGAGGTTATCCTCTTCTAGTTAAACAGGAATGATGTCATACGGTGTCCCTTATACTGTGTCGGTCCAAAGTACAACACAGGCGATTAAAAGAAATAAACAATTGTATAAAAACGAAGATTACGTGGAATAATCCAACAGTTGAAGATACAAAAAAGAAAGTTTATATGCCATTATTACGGCGAATGTAATGTGTTCTACTTACGAATGGCATATCAACGGTACTGAGTGATCAAGAAGTCCTGACAGAATTTTGTGTCCGGCTTGTTCACACGCTTGTTCTGTTGGATCACTTCCAACAACATCAATCATCAGCTGTAAATCTTTCTTGATTGTGTCTAGGTTTACAAGGTTCGCTGTGATGATAAAAAATGTTGATTATTTTTCTTGCGCTCTTTGCGCATGTGTTCTAAGTATATCTTTGAATTTATATTCAAATAATGCTCTTTGAAAATTAATCTCGATTTGAATGATTTAAGCGTTTCTTCGACGTAAAACATCTTATTACTCATTTTAGGCATATTGCGTTCACATTGGCCAAATTAGGTTAAAGCCTTTATCCTTGTGGTTAATTATTTAGCTCGGCAATATGCTTTTCTATTTCCAAATACTATTTAATAAAGTCCATTATATAAATGTCCTCAAAACTTATCATGTAAGTGACACATCGCATAAAAAGAGGAAGATGATTATTCAATCTAATAAGTCATGATAAGATGCTGCATTCAACTATTTACAGAGTGACTTCTGCCTGGAAAATTATTTTCTTTTACACTCAATTCACAAAGTCGATATCAAAGTATATATAAAACGGACAAAATTGCAATTTAACGAGATTTTAAGTATCTTTTACGTACACAGTGTATCCAACAAATATCGTTTCCCTGCGGCTGATGCTGTTGTTGTTTGTGCAGGTACAATGTGAAAATGATGGACAAGCTCCTGGAATCTGAATGTATAAACCTATGATTAATTAAACTTAATACAAGATGAATTCCAATGATGCATGGTGGTACGTTTCATTAGACATTAGACAACATAGCATAGACGATAACAAATGAGTGATAGTTTTGCAAAGCAAATATATGTTTTTGGGCGTTTGTGACTGATTGGTTAAAGTCGTTGACTTCAAACCACTTGATGTAGGTTCAAATCCCATCACGAACTTTTGATTCGTGCTTTTGTTATGTGAGGACTATCCAGTTAGCTTACGAAACGTCGGTGGCTAGTTGGGTGCTTGCTAGTGCCTGAAACATGGCACGGGGGACACCTGAAGTTATCCTCTTCTAGTTAAACAGGAAAATTGTCATACGGTATGCCTTCTACTGTGTCTGTCCAAGGTACACTTCAGGCGATTAAAAGAAATAAACAATTGTAGTGTAAAACGAAGATTACGTGGAATAATTCAATAGTTGAAGATACAAAAAATGAAATTTTATATGCCTTTATTACGGCAAATGTAAAGTTTGACTTACGAATGGCATATCAACGGTACTGAGTGATCAAGAAGTCCTGACAGATATTTGTGTCCGGCCTGTTCACACGCTTGTTCTGTTGGATCACTTCCTACAAGATCAATCATCAGCTGTAAATCTTGCTTGATTGTGTCTAGGTTTACAAGTTTCGCTGCAATGATAATATTTTTTATCTTTATCACACGCTCGTTTATGTCAGGTTCCAATATAAGCGTTTAATTCTTTAGCTCTCGATCTGAGTCAATAAAGTAGAGAAAATCTTTATAGGCAACAAAATGCAAGCTCGATTAAATGGAACGAACCTGTTCTTAGACGGTTCTGGAAAGAGCAGTTATTGCCAATGTCCCTAGCACCGGCTTTAAAAGAATTCAATAGTCAACACGAAATTGATTTTGCTTTTAGAAACATCTTTATACATGTGTTTTTGTTCATACATAGGGTATCGGGAAATCTACTATGAAACACTTGTGTGCAATTTCATGAAAATGCATAAAATAAAATTCTGTTTCAAAGGTATGCTACGCCCAAGTACGGGTGGTGTAAAGTTTTAAGGTTTAAGAATGGCAATGTCCAAAGAAAATTATACAGAGATAAAGACAGAATATGCTACAATTTATTGACAATTAAGGTATGCATTCATTTAACTTAAAGGTGCAAATACTTTTAATATTTAACATACGATTCAAATTAGCTTACAATAAAGCAAGCAACGTTATTTCTACAGTTTGTACTTTATTTATTTCAATCCAAACATTTGAACTGCCGTAAAAACATATGGTTTAACAACGTGGAAACACTTATAGCATTGTTACTTATACAGTCAGACTAAACACAAAAGGTGTTTCTTATATATAGTTTTTCTCTTAATATTTGATAGTTTCTAAAATAAATAGGCTTAATTATATAGTCATCGATTCCTGAATTTGGTATGCCTTAACCTAAAATGGACTTTTTAAGTTTCAATTTTTGAAACTGTTCATTATCAGTTTGTGTGATATCAAGATGAAATTTTAAAAATCTCAGCCAACTGTATAAAACCTGGACATACTGTGAAGCTTGTCACGACTCTATACTGCCAGGGGCGTGAGGGATGTTGCACGTTTTTCATTATCGACTCGATCAAACCGAGTCTGCAATTTTTGTGATTAATGCTCCGAGGGACCACACTTTATCCAGATTTCTATACTGATAACAAAGGCTAATCACTTTCGATTCCATCAGGTTAAGGCTGAATATTTGTGAAACTCTCATTGAGTCAATTACTACCCTGTGTACTATATAAATAAGTAAATTTTAAAAGAGTTTATTTGATGTTGTGATAGATAATCGTAAGACAAACTATCAATTCAACACTTACAAATGTCATTTAAAAGATATCTCTTCTCTGGATGGGCAAATACCAGTGCCGGTAAAACAAAAAGTCCGAAAAATATATTCATTGTTTCTGAAAAATAGAAGAAATATGCAATAACATTTTTACAGTCTTGTGTTCATTCAAAGGTAACAAATCATATTCTTCAACAAATTATGTTTTCGAAGCAACTTCATGACACACCGAATTTTGTATAAAAAATGAAATTGCTTATTGCGAGCGAACTGTCCGATTATTTGTGTGTATTATGTAACATTTTAAGAGAGTTCGTCCATATTGTACCATATATAATTTACTTGATAGTAATTAGAATGTGGCAACAAACCACGAAAATATTTTATTCATAAAATGTTGGTAAATATGAGCTACATGATCTGATATAATAATAAATTGTTCTGGAACAATATATTATTATACCATAGAACTGTTCATACTTAATCACTCAGAACTCTAAACATTTTTTTTTCAAGAGATACTTATTATATATAAAGAAACAACAGATGATATGAAGCTGTTCATGACTTTAAATTTCATTGTTCTTGATTGAAATATGGAATATATTTTTACAAAATATGATAAAATTCCATATGTTTTCACTAGTCGGAATTTTTATCATGTTAAGTGGAAATGTATCGCATATTTCACGAAAAATGAAAAATAAAAGAATAACCTTTTTGTTTAATGTAACCTTCATGGAAAAATGTTGTTTACTATTACACATATTTATATGTACAGTGCAGTAATACATTGATTTACTATAGGTGCGAATTTAAATCCTCAGTTATCTACGACATCTTGAACCATTTTGAAAAAAATAACAAGGTAATTTCCGATAATGAAATGAATAGCTGAAACTACTGACGGCAACAGAGAAACAGCCGAAAAAGAAGTCCCAAAAATAAATACGATGTTTGGCTCCGCACATATTCATATTTATATTTCATATTTGTTTTTTTTCTTTCACTCACAAGTTATATATTCGGCTAATATAGCACCATATTTCATGGGTCTTAATATGAACTTATCGGGGAGCATTTATTAATTTTTACTTCGTTCTTTAAAATTATTGCTTTCAATTTGTAGATTCATATTTTGTATAGCGTGTAAATTAATTTAAACTTAATGTTTTGATTTTGAACTTTTCTTTTGTCTATATCGGTATATTATTGTACACACGAACATTTAATTAATATCTATACATAACGTTGCTTCAAAACGATTACATTCAATTTTTATTTAATTAATATCAATGTTTGCAATATCTTACCTCTAGCCTTAATCCAACTGTAAACTGATGTACGAAGGATGTTTAGGATGTTTTTCTCGTCTTTTATACATTCAGTATAGACTTACGAGAGGCCCTTACAAGGTTTGTTACTTGTAACTTATCAACTATTTCATTGTATGTAAAGTATATTACATGATGAAAGATTATGAACGTCGTTTGACATATATTTGCCGACATAGCTGACCCTTCATTCTTCTTACCGTTCATGATAAAACCGTGTGTATTTATAACAGATGCTTTATCACAATCTTATCAATTTCAGAAACGCTGTTTATTCGTTTTTTTCCTTTTTCCTTCTTCTTCTTCTACCACTTCTTCGTCATGTTCTCCTTCTTATAGACTTGTTGAAATTACACAGTGCTTATTTCAGTTGTACTTTGCTTTTATTTCTTTTCATGTTAATTTGGATAGTGCTTTTTGAAAAAAATGGTCAGAGAGAACACGACAAAATTAGGACAGACTGTTTATTTCTACAGTGTGAGCAATATTTATACTACCACTACCAGCTGCTTAACAGCAATATTTATTTTAATTCAACTGTTGGTAGTAAGTCCTGCAGAGGAATAAAATGCAAGTGGAGACACATCTCTTCCACAGGTGGCAATATCAGTGTTTGGACATCCCACCACACTCTGCTCCTGGACCCCTGCTACAACCCTGAAAAAATACTACTAAGGCTTACTATAAGAAACTAAATACAAAATTACCGATACAATAATAATAAATAAATTTCACTATGAAAATCATCGTTATAATAAGGTGAAAAGCCTACTATGTGTTCATTTGCCAAACAATGTGGAACACGGAAAATCGTCGTTTCGGCAACTGAGGCGCAATCCGGTGGCATTTCGCTGCATCATTCATTAACATCAATAAAATTTGTATAAACCAACATCAATAAAAAGAACTAGAATTCACCGCTTACCTTATCCAAGTCCAACGAATATCAATATTATATCGATATTTTCTGTTTCATGGTATTTTTTATAGTTGTAGTAATTTTGGAGTCCGACATCTGCGTTGTATACGCGATCTGATTGGACGTTCTTTTGGTTCGTCCAATCAGATCGCGTATTACAACGCAGGTATCAGAATCCAAAATGGCTACGACAAGTAAAAAATACCATGAAACAGAAAAATCGATTAGGTAAGCTGTTAAATTCTAGCTCTTTTTCTTGATGGTTAATGAATGCTGCAGCGAAATGCCACCGGAATGCGCCTCAGTCGCCGAAACGACGATTTCCCGTGTTCCACATTGTTTTGCAAATGACCATATTTCATATATGTCAAACGACATTCATAATCTTTCATCATGTAAGGCTTTTCACCTTTCTATTATTTTGAAAGTAAGAAAATATTTGTTTTTATAATTTTACCGCTGGTTTTGTATATAGTATCTTATAGAAAGCCTTAGTAGTGATTTTTCAGGGTTGTAGCAGGGGTCCAGGGGCAGAGTGTGGTGGGGTGTCCAAACACTGATTCTGCCGCCTGTGATCTCTTCATTTGCCATAAAAAAGCCTGACCTTTAGTTCATTTTGTTATCAACGAAAACACTAGAATGGGACCATGCCTGTGTCTGAAAAAATTTAGATAATACTTAAATGATGTATTCAAGTGAACTTTGAGTTGAGATAAGTGAATTCATAAATCCGAAGTAACGTATCAAAATATGAATAACGTAAGTGTTATTGGATCATGGAAAATAATAGTGTAAAAAATTTAAAGCTATCTGTAAATTATATTGTCAAATAAAGGTTGTCTTTATGATTTTCTAAAATAATGTATATTGTTTTCCTTATATCTCCCCACAAAAAAAACACATTTTTTCATACAAACGAGATAGAAAAAAGTGATGAACGAAAATAATAGAAAAGGTAACGTACCAAGTGAATTGGTTTTACTAATGAACATTAAATGACCGGAGGTAAAAAAATACCCACTAAAGCACTAATCATTAACACTAGGAAGATTATAAAGGAATTGGAAGATTTTGATTTCGGTGAACATTTAGAATTTAAACATAATAAGATATAATCGAAGAATTAAAGAATTACCTTGAAAATGTATTGTGAATACTCACAATTTGTTTTCAATAGCCTTATGGTTAAAAAATATAATGAATCATGATATATTTTAGCAAGTGATGCTTGTATTACAGCAAATATCACGATCAGTACGGGAAGAATAGTAAGGTTTTATAGAAGAAGCTTCCGCACTATCGATATCATAGAATTATAGGTGTAAGTAAGAGCACGTTACATGAACATTTACATGAGCAATTTCATCAACAATATTTTATTTGCATTTAGTTGTACAGTAATAACAATATTCAGCTAAAAATCAGTGAGTTCGAATTTATTTCTAAAACCCTGAAAAAGAAAAAAAAGTATAGTTAGAAACATGTCATGCTAATATTTATGTGTAAAATTAATTCAAAAAAGTTTTAGTTACATACTGGAGAGGAAATTCAACATTTTTATTTAGCTTTTAGTGTTTATTATTTTTTTATACATTTTGTTTACTAATAATGATTTTTACACTTTTTTATTGTCATGTCTGAGGTATTACCGAGATAAGCATTTGTAGTTTTAAATTAGTTTCTTAATACAATGTTGATATTTCCTTTAATCTGTGAAGAGGGTGAAATTACATACATATCATTTTTCTATTGCGATGTTGTCTGTGAAGGGACAATACTGAAATGGTGAACGAGCTCTTGAAACCTGTAAGGAGACAAAAACAATGTATTCAAGACAAATATTTTTGAAGTTTCATATCAGACCGATATAAAGTTTAGTGGTGAATTTCAGCTCTGCTAATTGGGGACATAGAGTAAATTGTGAGTCAAAATCAGATTTAATTTTGTCATGTTTTCAATCCTATGGCCTTTTTCATTTATAAAATCATTAACTAACGTGATCATGGAATATTCTAGAAATATCCTTCAGAATTTATCGTTAACGTTCAAAATGACAAGAAGAGTCTTTTCATATTAAATCAGCTTTTCATGTTTTATGATCAACATTTTAAATTATAACACTAGTAAAATCACCATTATAATTGTCAATATTTTAACATATATAGCTGATCTAGCTCAACTGAAAGCAAGCAAAGAGCATATAATGACATTCTTAGCGACTGTGTTGATCTTGAGGAGCTGGTACTTACTTAATACCTTATCTATCCTGCTTACGTGCGAAAAACATTAATTCCAATACGTTTGTATTATCAGATTTTGAAATCAATCAAACTTGGTTTGCATGAATTATGATTCAATTGTACACAGTGAGTTAAATATTCCAGCGATTGGAATGATAAATGAGCTATGCATGTTTATATGCCTAAAATCTTCAAATCTAAAGGTGTCTTGCTTTTTTATATTTTCTTTTTTGCCATATGTGCATCATAATTACGACTTCAATCAATACATAGTTATATCAGTTTCTTAGAAATTAACTTAACGTTGAATTCTACCTGTAACTTTATAGTTATTATAGTCACTTACAGATAATTTCATGCTTATCTGCGTTAATTTCTTTGGTTTGGTTTTCTCAGCATGCATTATGCAGTAATGAAAGACTTTAAGCATCAACATATGGAAGAAAAGCTTCCAATATTTCTTTTACAAAATAATTTTCCCAATAAAGGCAAAATGTTTGAACGAAGACTTCACATTTAACGAATTAAATATGCACGAATAACTAGCATAATATCTGAATGAAATGTCTGTATCTATAGTATTTTCAAGACTTACGAATGGCATACAATTAATTTTAGGAGGAAAATGAATGTCAAATACAATGGCTTACGAATGACATATCAACGGTACTGAATGATCAAGAAGTCCTGAAAGATATTTGTGTCCGGCCTGTTCACACGCTTGTTCAGTTGGATCACTTCCTACAACGTCAATCATCAGCTGTAAATCTTGCTTGATGGTGTCTGTGTTTACAGCAGCCACTGCAAAGGCAACAATTACACGTTTCTTTTTCTACGCTTATTAATGTGTTCTAAGTAAAATCCCTTAATCCATTTTACTCATTATATATTTAAAAAATAACTCGCAGCTCGGATAATTCTAGCGATTGTAGGACGAAAAATGTCATATTAGTCATTCTTGTTGGCAGATTGCTTTCGCCTTCATTAAATTCAGCCAAACCCACTTATCATTTTGTCTATTAATTCATTTACTACGATTTAAGTACAATATGCAGAAATATTCATCGAAAGCTCGTAAGTGACACATCAAATAAAAATTTATTTATTCTTTCTTATACGTCTAAGTAAAAATGCTGCGTTGACATATTTTAAGTTAAACTATGTTTGACTGAAACATTATTTTTGTTTCCCTGTGTCAATATTACTTTAATCTGAAAATCTTTGCGAGTTTATTAGATTTTGAGATTTGTTTACGTACAGAGTGTATCCAACACAAAACGTTTAGCTGCTGATGCTGTGGTAGTTTGTGCTGGTACAATGTTAAAATGATGCACAAGCTCCTGGAATCTAAATTTAAAAACGTTTAATTTATCATATAGAATATGACATTATGGATGCAAAAGAGCGATTTTTATACATTTCAAACATATGCTAATCATAATCTACATGTACATATTCAGTCAGCAGTTATAACTTTGTGCGCGAAGAAATGAATCAATCTTTATTTTACAAATGTCAGCAATTGAAGGATGATCTATTATATGTATTAACTTACGAATGGCATATCAACGGTACTGAATGATCAAGAAGACCTGACAGATATTTGTGACCGGCCTGTTCACAAGCTTGTTCAGTTGGATCACTTCCTACAAGGTCAATCATCAGCTGTAAATCTTGCTTGATTGTGTCACCGTTTACAGCAGCCACTGCAATTATAATATTTTCTTTCATACCCTCTTTTCTGCTTATGTTAAAAGTTTAAACTTTGATTTAATTCGCAGCTTGGAATCGATTTGTGGATGTGTAACGTCATATTAATCAGTCGTTTTGGCATATTGCTTTCACGCTCGTCGTATTCAGACACAAACCGTGTTGTGTATTGATTATATGTGTTCTATTTTTTTCAGTTGAATATGAAAAAGTCTTCATAAATTATCTCGTAAGAACACATCGCATGAAACAAGAAATATGTGTTTACCTTTCTAAAAATGAGTTTTGCCTAGTAAATTATCTTCTTTTGAACTTCTTTTTCTAAAGCTATAGCAAATTATATAAAACAGGGATTGGGGTTTTATGAGACTTTAAGTATTGTTTACGTACATAGTGTATCCAATACAAATCGTTTAGCTGCTGATGCTGTTGTTGTTTGGGCAGGTGCAATGTTAAAATGATGGATAAGCTCCTGGAATCTTAATTAATAAACGTAAAGTTAATTAAACTTCATGCAAAATTGATATTGCAAAGATATACAATGGTACGTTTCATCAAACATTATACAACATGACATGATGAATTGAAAAATGTCTGCATGTGTGATTTTTATACGATTCAAACATATTTTCATATAAAAAAACATAATGCCACTGAAACTTAATCCACATATTCAGTAAACACTTATAATACTAGGACACAAGAAAATGAATGGTCATATGCCATCATAATGGTAAATGTTAGGCTATGGTATGTCTTGACTTACGAATGGCATATCAACGGTACTGAGTGATCAAGAAGTCCTGACAGATATTTGTGTCCGGCCTGTTCACAAGCTTGTTCTGTTGGATCACTTCCTACAACATCAATCATCAGCTGTAAATCTTGCTTGATTGTGTCTGTATTAACAGCTGCCACTGCAATAAATAATCTCGTTTTTCACACGCTAATTTTTGCAAGTGTTTTTTGAATTCATATGTTCTATTATTTGTTTTTGAAAATAACTCTCGGACGATTGCTAGACGTTAAACGTCATATAAGTTATCTACGCTGGCAGATTGCTACCTAGACAAACCCATGGACCATGATGTCTTTTATTTTGTTGAGAAAATTGCTTTCAAAATTCCAAATACTATTTTTTCTCAAAATAAAAAAGATTTAAGATCTTCATATATTGTCTCGATAGTAAAGCAACACATGAAACAAGGAAGATAAGTTATCCTTTCTTATATGTTCGTGTAAAGATTCTGTGTTGACATATATTAAGGGTTAGTTCATTTTGGAAAATTATAATATTTTGCTCTTGCTTTGCTTAGTCCATATCAAATTATATATAAAAGAACATAACTGGGATTTTATGAGACTTTAAGTATTGTTTACGTACACAGTGTATCCAATACAAATCGTTTAGCTGCTGATGCTGTTGTAGTTTGTGCAGGTGCAATGTTAAAATGATGGATAAGCTCCTGGAACCTAAATTTATAAACGTATAGTTAATTAAGACTACATACAAAATGATATTCTAAAGATTCAAAATGGTACCTTTCATCAAACATTATACAACATGACATCATGAATTGAAAAACGTGTGTAATTGTGATTTTATACTAATCCAACTTATGTTTACATAACACCCAAATGCCATTGTGGCTTAATCCACATATCAAGCAAACAGTTATAATGCTACGACAAAGGAAACGAAAGTGTTTTTTTGTCATTTTTACGGCAAATATAAGGGTATGGTTTGTTTTGACTTACGAATGACATATAAGTGGTACTGAATGATCAAGAAGTCCTGAAAGATATTTGTGTCCGGCCTGTTCACAAGCTTGTTCAGTTGGATCACTTCCTACAACATCAATCATCAGCTGCAAATCTTGCTTGATTGTGTCTGTGTTAACAGCTGCCACTGCCATTATAAAAACTTGTTTTATTTTTCACACGCGTGTTTTTGCTTGTGTTTTAAGATTAATATTTAAATTCATTTACCTCTTTTATTTAGTTTTTTGGAAAATAACTCTCGACTTCAATGATCAAAGCGATTGTTAGACGTTAAATGTCATTTCAGCTATAAATGTTGGCTGATTGCTTTCACTTTGGTCAAATTGAGTTAAACCCAATTACTATGTTGTCTTTTAATTATTTTGTTGAGCAAATTGATTTTAAAATTCCACATACTACTTTTTCTAAAAAAGAAAGGTGTTCAAATCTTCATAAATTGTCTCATAAGTAACACAACACATGAAACAAGAAAGGATAGTTATCCTTTCTGATAAGTCCTTGTAAAGATTCTGCGTTGATATAGTTTAAGGGTTAGTTCATAGTTCATTTTGGAAAATTAATATCGTTTGCTCTGGCCTTTCTAAGTCCATATCAAATTATATAAAACAGAACATAACTGCGAATTTATTTAATTTTAAGTAATGTTTACGTACACAGTGTATCCAACACAAATCGTTTAGCTGCTGATGCTGTTGTTGTTTGTGCAGGTACAATGTTAAAATGATGGACAAGCTCCTGGAACCTAAATTTATAAAAGTATGTTTAATAAGACGTCATGCAAAAATGATATTCAATAGATACATATTTGTACGTTTCATCAAACATTATACATCATGACATCTTGAATTGGGAAACGTGTGTGATTTTTGTGTCGCCTCTACGGAGTAGTGGCGACATATAGGGATCACTTCTCCGTCGTCTGTCTGTCCGTCTGTCTGTCTGTCTGTCTGTCTGTCTGTCTGTCCGTCCGTCCGTCACAAAACTTGTCCGGACTACACCTCATAAACTACTGGTGCAATTTCATCCAAACTTTACAGGAATGATCAGTACCAAGTCTAGTTGTGCATATTGTCAGCATTTTCTGGTTCAATGATTTTTGTCAGAGTTATGGCCCTTTAATAATTTTTATTTTCAAAGTTTGTCCGGACTACTTCTCTTATACCACTAAAGCAATTTCAATGAAACTTTACAGGATTGATCTGTAGCTCAAGTCCTTGAGCATATTGCACATGTTTTCCAGTTGAATGATTTTTGGCCGAGTTATGGCCCTTTGATAAAAATGTGTTTTTTTCTGTGTGTTGCCAGATACACAAAAGCTTGTCCGGACTATTCCTCATAAACTACTTGTGCAATTCCATCCAACTTTTACAGGAATGATCATTACCAAGTCTAGTTGTGCATATTGTCAGCATTTTCCGGTTTAATGATTTTTGTCAGAGTTATGGCCCTTTAATAATTTTTATTTTTAAAGTTTGTCTGGACTACTTCTCTTATACCACTAATGCAATTTCAATGAAACTTTACAGGATTGGTCTGTATCTCAAGTCCTTGCGCATATTGCACATGTTTTCCGGTTGAATGATTTTTGGCTGAGTTATGGCCCTTTGATAAAAAGGTGTTTTTTCTGTGTGTTGCCAGATACGCAAAAGCTTGTCCGGACTACTCCTCATAAACTCCTTGTGCAATATTCAAACTTTACAGGAATGATCAGTACCAAGTCTAGTTGTGCACTGTTTGTCTGTCTGTCCGTCTGTCACAAAATTTGTCCCAACATGAAATTGGCCATCATGAGGCGACACATGTGATTACTGATCGCTCTTGTATATGATTGGGTTAATCCACATATTCAGTTAATAGTTATAATACTACGAAAAAAAAGAAAATGAATGTTTCTATGCCATTATGACTATATGTAAGGTTATGGTCTGTTTCTACTTACGAATGACAAATTAGCGGTACTGAATGATCAAGAAGTCCTGACAGATATTTGTGTCCGGCCTGTTCACAAGCTTGTTCAGTTGGATCACTTCCTACAAGATCAATCATCAGCTGTAAATCTTGCTTGATTGTGTCACTGTTCACAGCTGCCACTGGAAAGAAAAATATGTAATAGATGACGTCGCTGCATTATCTTAAAAATAAAAAAAAAAGTTGTTAATGAATTGCAATGTTCTGAATTTTGAAGTATATGGTATGTTCAAATGCATAAAAACAATTCTAGTTCAAACGTTATGTGAAAGTATATGGACTGTAGTGTTTTATTGTTTTAATGTCCGAAGACAAATAAACAGACAAATTTAACCAATATGCTACAATCAATGATCAACGCAGGACGCAAAAGTTTTACTAAAAGCTGCTAATAATTCTGATATTTCATACAAGAATTTCATTTTCATGAAAATGAGATGGAATTTCGAGCCGAAAATGAAAATGAGATGGAATTTTGAGCCGAGCTGCTTAAATAATTTCACATATCAATTTTTGAATTTGCATTTTTTAAATAAAATGTGTGATATCATATTTACAAGATTGGTCTAAATACATTTCAGGATTATCGCCACATGTGTTTCTTTCAAATAGCTATTCTCTTAATATTTCATAGCTTTTTAATGAAATAGGTAAACATGTACACATATCGTCATGGAACCTGATGTACATGTATTCCTGAAGACAACTTGTCAAGTTTCCATTTTTGCAACTGTCCAATACAAGTTTAAGGATATCATGATAAAATTTGAACAGGTCAGCCGACAGAATAGAGTCATTCAGATTAAATACTGGTGGTTTGGGGTAATCATTTACGGTTCTATTATGTTATGCACATATGTGTTTGGCAGCTGCCTTGCGAGCGATGTATTAAGAATTTTATAACTATTATGTGTTCTACATAAATAACAGTAAATATGATGATTTAATAGATGGTCGAAAGACAAACTACACCACTTACAAATGCTATCTAAAACAAATCTCTTCTCTTGATTGGCAAATACCAACGCTGGTAAGACTAAAAGTGCAAAAAGTACCTTCATTGTTTCTGAAAAAAAATAAACAACAACATGGCAAAATACTATTTTACAGATAAAGACAGCAAAATGTTAATTGTTTATTGTCGTGTATTCTACATTTAATGTTGTGATTTTTTGAAAGTAACGTCGAATTTGACAACCTCCCCACCCCACCCCCAACACACACACACAACTTAACGTACAATGTTATGATTTTCCAACTATTCGTTGTTAATTCAGCAGTAACAAAATAAAATAATAGAAAGTCTTGTAAAACTTATACAAGCATACTGACTGGCTTAAGTCTCTACTGTTAGCCCTAAGACATCAGTACTAAAGGGCTTACTCATAGCAAAGTATATTAATTTCAATATGCTGATGCTGTTAAAAGCATTTTCGAATCATACATAGAGGATATCGAATGCTGAATATTGCACGAGTTGAATAAAATTATATTATGCGAGCCTCGGGCGAGCATAATATTATTTTATCCAACGAGTGCAATAAATTCAGTAATGAACTTACACGAATTTAATATTCTATTTCTCACATACCCAAAATAAAGACCGTTTAAAGTGAAATAAGAGTCATTTTTCATTGACGCGCCTATAGTATAATGCTAACATTTAGCGCGTCTTTACACTAAATTTGTATAACGCTAATGACGTCATGTCAAAATATATGCACGGCCGTGCAATACCATATTTACGGAGTCGCAAAATCGGCACGGGTGTGTGATAAATGCCTTTTCTACTTTGTCTAGCTTACGTCTGTACTGTTAGACTAAGACGTCAGCACTTAAGGGCACAATATATTATATTGCCTAATGCTTTCTACTTTTATCCCTTTTCTAACTATAAAATTTTAAAGTAAAGTACTAACTTCATGTTAACTTTTGAAGCGAATATGAATCATATTACCTTATTACATAAAAATCCGATTTATTCATAAAATATTACATATGCACCTAAAATGCCCTTAGGTATTTATACGAAACAGAGTAAACATGAGGCCCTAACATAACCAGTATGTTGTAGTAACACTATGTTCTACCAATTGCTGGGAGTCAAATATCATTCACGGTCTTACCTTAAAGATCCTGTATTTTTTGTTATTGATATTGTTAATGTGTGTATACCACACTTGCAAGAAAATTATATATGTATATAATTATGCAAAAAAAAAAACAATTTTCAAACATCGAAGAATATGTAAAATGTGTACTGCAAATATGTGTACATCAATAAATTACATGCATTCATTTCTTACTGGAAAATTTGACTAAGAATTTATTGAACATAAATCTCTAATTACCTCCCTTTATTTACATGAAATATTGAATCGGGTAATATCTTTATAAATAATGCTTATTGGAACTTGCAATATTGACAAATCTTAATTTGAGCATCATATTTATGAAATAAAACCATGAAAAAAAATGTGTTACAGGATCTTAAAAATAATCAGGGTGTTTTCGGATTTCGCTAAAAAAGGATTTGTTTAAAACAAAATAAGGACACATTTTTCTCTTGTAAGTATAATTATAACTAAGTATGTTTTTGTACCAAACACAAATACTATTATCATAGCAGGCGTTAGCCTTCTTATTGTGGGTACTGAATTTACCATGCTTTTAATTTGAACAACCTATTGGAAAATAATTATATAAAACTACAAAAAAAATCAACCAAACATCGGGCCTTACTGAGACAAATCATCATTGAACTTTTCTGACTTATGCAACCTTTCAACGGCGGTGCTAAAAGTGTCCAGTAGGATTGTATACATACTGTAGGGTCATCCTAAGTTTTGAATTATCACTCATCATATAATGTGGTAGTGAACTTGACCTTTTATCAAACTAATTACCAAATTACCAATTAGGCTCGTAAATATTGCTATAAGTGGCGACATGGCCTAGTGGTTAACGCGTCGGACTAGTAATCTTATGATGGTTTAAACCCCGAAAGATGTAAGTCGTTGTTTCCTTGAGCAAGAAACTTTACATTCATTACTCAGTACTTGTTGGTTCCATGAACGGATTCGAAAGTGCGTCTATAAGCTTATAAATTCTTTCACAATCGAACTAAAATATGTTCTGTATAAACCAAATCAATGTTCAAATTTAAATAAAACATTAATGTCAAAAAACGCTTTGACTGAGCCTGGTCAGGGTTGGCTTTAATTAATGCATGGCCATGTCTCACGCATATAGCATCGGCTTATATTAGGCAAATCATTATCGTTTAGAATGGTGAGAAATGGTTGTATTCAAGTCGAAGACATACATACATACATACGTACGTACGTACGTACGTACATACTTACATATATACACATGTATTATTTATTCATACAGCATTCAGAAATTGTCTTGTTATTATATTTACGCAGTTAAATAATTTTACTAGGTATGCAAAACTATTTCAATATCGAGAAAACTGACTAAGATATTGAAGTCGGTCAGTTCCAATTATTAACACAATACAATTCACACCACCTAGCTACTAGTATATAAATTCTAAAACCTACACGACACCGCGTATGGGAATAATTTTATAGGGAAGTTTTATTGAAAATATCGACATTTTCCTATGAAAATATATAAATTGAAAAGCTCACTAAAATTTAGTTGAGGGAACCGTGACATTGAACTTGAATGTTCTACATAAATTACGAAATCTCTTTCTGAATTCTTTCAAACGTCACGATCGGTTTACAAATATAGCTAGATAAGAGGTCAGTCGTGACCAGATAAATTCTTAACGGTGTTGCCTGATGACAATTGACATCGTACACATTTTTCCGTGGTAACACAACTGGTGGTATTTAACATTATCTTGTTCGTTTGTCGACTTCTTTTATGTTCTCGTTTCAAATTTAGCAATACGAATGTTTCCAAATTCAAAATTTTACCATTTTAATATGTTTAATATTGAATTCTGCTTAAGCCAGTCATAGTGGGCATCAACGGCAATTTGAAATTTCCAATACCGTTATCAAACCGAGCCTGCCGTTCTTAACGTCCTTGAGAAATACCTTTTTTCTCCATTTAAATGGAAAATGAGTGAAGTAAATGTCCAGCATTGCCAAATTTTAGTTGATTTTATTTCAGATGTTCAGTTTGAACTTAAATCGTTTTACAATGCTATTAACTGTATTTATATTTCGTACAAAACAACTAATAAAAAAAACATTAACCTTTTGTGTAATTTTATATGTTATATTTTATTATTATATTTTTCTGGTCCTTCGGGATCATTGATGCCAACACTATTTAGTGTTGAGAATTGAGTACCGCTCAAGCAGGTGCTAGGGGGCGTGAGGGATGCTGCACTGTTTCATTATACCTCAATCAAACCGAGTCTGCAATTCTCTTGTAATTTTATTGTAATTTCCGAGGGATCACTTTGTTTCAAGATTTTTTGATCAACAAAATGATCATAATGATTGATTTTAAAAGCCAATGAGTAAAAGTAAAGTTCTGACAAAGGGATTTACAAAAATAACACCTTATTTGTCTTTGTGTCTGTTTTACATTTAAAGCAATATTTTCATAAATTTCATACAGAGGTGATCCCTCGAGAGCAAGAAAAGAACAAAATGGTTGGAAGTCTGCAAATTTATATTCATTTTGTCTGTTCATGGGTAGAAATGAATAGTGCAACACCGGCATTAACAAATCAGCATCGACAATATTTTAAGGACAATGGTCGAAACCACGGGATCATAATCATATAAAGAAAATTCAGGATTTTCATTAAAAAATTATGCTTTTTATCTTTTGCTACGTTTCAATTTCGTAATGCTCACTTGTGCATCGCTATTTGAATCCTGAAGCCCAGCTTTTAAGCTTATGGTGCAGAGTACGCGTAGCAGAGTACATTCCCCAAGACGTCTTTTTTTAAGGAAGAATAAATCATCAGACAAATTTAGTAGAACGATGCATAAAATGTCGAAAGGTGATGCCGTTTATAAAATATGACTGTCATACGATTAATAATGGTGTGATAATAAACATCTGCTGGTCATGGAAATTAGCGGACGATATTTACGTCTTTCTACAATATATATATATATATAGGCTAGTACTTGTTTAAGGTTTCTGTTTGAAATTATTTTTGTCAAATAGGATATTAGTATTGAATAATTATCGTAACACATTTATTTAGGTAAATCGGGCAACTATTAATCAGTCTAGTAAATAGGCTGTTAGTGGAAAACACTGAATTGGTTAGTATTCATAAAAAAGCATTGAGTTTAAGTATAAAGTAAATTTGTTACGATTTATTTGAAATACTGCAATCGTTTTGGACAACAAAGGTTCTGCTGCTTCGCTCTTGATCAATAAACCTTGGTTAAATCTGCTAGCCTCCAAGTTTGAAGTTCCTAGGCCTAAGGGTTCTTTAGTTATTGATCGGAAACCGTTTTTACCTAAGAGGTCAATGTGACCTTGACCTTTGACCCCTTGACCCCCAAAGTCAATAGGGGTCATCTGCTGGTCATGACCAATCACCATACCAAGTTTGAAGTTCCTAGGCCTTAAGGTTCTTTAGTAATTGATCGGAAACCGTTTTTACCTAAGAGGTCAATGTGACCTTGACCTTTGACCCCTTGACCCCAAAATCAATTACAAAATGTTCAAATAATCAAAACTTTTAATCAAGGCGTCAAATAAAGTTAAGCATAAACAAAATCACAACAAATATTTACAAGAATACATTGTTAAATGTTAAAAGGAGAGCGGGAGCCTAGAAGTAGAGCGATAGCCTAGTGTCTCAACCCAGGGGGTTCGAGCCCTGATCGGATCGCGACCACGTCTCTTCATATGACACCAGTACTGGTTGGTTCCAGGAAGCGGACTCGAAAGTTATAGATATAAGTTGCAAGAACTTGTTTCGCAATCTAGCTTAAATAAATATGTTATATGTTTTTCCCTGCTTGAACTGAAAGGGATTTGTATTAAGTACAATAACCTTGAATTAGCTGGTTTTTTTATGTAAACCCGTCAGGCTTAAAGGTATTTG